CAAGTTTGTTCAAATCATGACACCCGGGGGTAGGGCGGGGCCAAAATGGCCGACCAAAGTTTAACATAGAAATATATAGGAAAATTCTTTAAAAATCTTCTTCTCAATCATTTTCTAAAAAATAGCAAATCCATGATTGGTCATGGGTAAGGGCGAAACGATTACACGTGTAAACGGCGACGTTTCGATTATATGCTCTAAACGTTTACAGTTTGAGTAAACGTTTACACGAGGGTCATTATCAATGTCTATCAGAAATAAAGTTTAACACAAAAAAAATTGTTTTATTTCATAATTTACAAAAGAAACACCGTCTTTGGCCATTTGATAAGCAACAATCTAAACCGGAAACATATTGAATGAAAATATCTAAAACCCGATACGGGCTAACATAATTAATTCCGATTTCCGAGTTGCTAATACTAGCGATGTTTTACGACACTTGAAATATAAAACTTGATATATTTTGATTAAATAAATATAATACATTTTTCACAAGTCTTTGAAAAGTTTCAATACATTCAGCAGGTCCTGTTTTACTTTTTTCGAGATTAAAAGATCCATCTTTACAATTATTTTTTCTACGCCCGGTAACCAAATAAACCAAGCAGTTGGGTGACGAGGTCGTAAGTGAATGAATTTAATGCGCCTCAAATTCTTACGGTTAAATCACAATGACCAACAATAAATTTGTAATAACAGCTCATACTTATATTAAAGTGAAAGAATTGATTATTAAATTCGAGTTTCATGAATGAGTAGCCATAAAAATCCAACATAGAATATTTCCCGTTTAAACGGTACCGTTTCGTTTACTGCTATCCATTTAAACGTTTACAAAATTCAGTAAATGTTTCACCCTTAGTCATGGGACTACTTTTAGATTTAAACTTTACAATAAAAAGCCATTTTATACTAGTCCTACCCTTGGTGCTCAGGTGAGCGATGTGGCCCATGGGCCATTTGTTTTCTTTTCTCTGGCCTATTGTAATTCATGTTGAAAATATTCTCTTCTGATGCACATTGAATCATGAATCTTTGGCAGTTAAATATGTTAAACATAAAAAATGATAAGAATTTTGTATGATTCTGCATTTTACAAGTGTTGGCTTTTGTTTCTGATGTGAGTGAAGTGTGTGTTGTACGTAACAGAACTGGTAGAAATGTGCTGTACTGTGTCAGGAAGACCCATTCTGGGAAAGCCCTGCTTTTAGATTTTATTTTTGCATACAATAAAAAAATGATGCATTAGAGGAATGGATCAAGGGAGGTAATTTGTAGATATAGAAGATGCAGACCATCTCAGGCACTACTTGACACATTATATGTATGGAAGGAGGAGGACGTGTGCACTTTTGTTAAATATAGGCATTATCAGGAAGTATTGAAGGAAAAAGAAATCATAGCTATTGGCTACAAAGACTTTATACTGCAGTAAAGTAACACCTACAATCTGCTGCTCCTCTGAAGGACTTCACACAAAACTAATTGTATTATAACATACATTTTAATTCAAAGGAACAAAGTAAACTTTGTGCGTCACTCTTGAATTTCAACGTTTTTACCAAAGTTTACATTTTTTTAAAAAAGACAGACAGTGAATAAATGTATTAATGGTTTATTCATAAATGCTTAAAAATTTTTTTTTTTTTAAGTTTATCGTGAACTTGTAAAAAGGTTTTACAGAAACATAGTCTTGATGTGTCATGGTCATTGATGTACCATTTCATATATAATATGGATAGATTGATAGTGTAATCGATCTTAAGTTGTTAATCAAATTGTACATGTATCAGTCAGAAAAATGAAGTTCTAGCAGCATGTTATACATTATGTAGCTTCGGATTGACATTGAATGTAGGGCTCTCAGTAAAATTTACATGATAAAGCCATCATAATGAAGAGTCTAGGACAGTCAATGCAAGTCAAATGAAGTGACAGGAATTGATTAATACAAAATTCAATTCCAAAATTAGACTGAAAGACAAAGTTTATCATGTAGGTCATATAAAGTTATTTAGACTACTATGTAATGCTTACATTTAATTTAACAAGGGGGTGTATTAGTATATTAAGTGGAGAGACTTACATGTAATTATATATTATATTATTATTTAAGTGGAGAAACTTAATAAATATAATTACACCAGGGGTGTATTAATTTTGAAGTGAAAAGGCAAACGTAATTACATCAGGGGTGTATTAATATTTAGGTGGAGAGGTTTACATGTAATTTCTTCAGAGGGTTAGTTCAAATTTAGGTTGATAGACTTACATGTAATTACATCAGGGAGTGTAATCAGTGTATTAATATTTAGGTGGAAAAACTTAATGTAATGGCACCAGAATTACTTGTTAGTGCCTGGGTGGGAGTATTGATACATGTATTTAAGTGGAGAGACTTACATGTAATTTCTTCAGAGGGTTGTTTAAAATTTAGGTTGATAGACTTATATGTAATTACATCAAGGAGTGTAATCAGTGTATTATTTAATATTTAGGTGGAAAAACTTAATGTAATGGCACCAGACTTACTTGTTATTGCCTGGGTGGGTGTATTGATACATGTATTTAAGTGGAGAGGTTTACATGTAATTTCTTCAGAGGGTTATTTCAAATTTAGGTTTATAAACTTACATGTAATAACATCAGGGAGTGTAATCAGTGTATTAATATTTAGGTGGAATTGAAAAACTTACATGTAATTTCACCGGGCTTGTAAATGCCTGGGTGGGTGTATTAATACAGGTATTGAAGTGGAGAGGCTTACATGTAGGTTGGTATATTATTATGTGTATTTAAGCAGAATTAGTCGTTGGAGTAATTTATCTGATCTTCTCTAGGAGATCCCTGGAATCTGTTTCTCCAGATAAAGACCTACATTGACCTACATGAGTGACATATTGATTTGCTGGTTCTATGATCCCTCACATTGTCTCTTTGTCAATACTAGGGATGACATACGCTCAATACTTTCCTAGCCTGTACATGTTTTAGTTTTTTTTTTTTAAATTGAGCGGAGTTCTTATCAGGCTTGGAGTATGATCGGTAGGAGTTTTTAGAATGTGTGGCATACCTTGTGGAAGGGAAGTGTACATTCTAAGAACACAACACATTAAATGTTGGCTTCAGCACAAACATCGCCACATTGCCTGATTGTGTAACAATTCCTGCTCTTCAAGGTCTCCCACTAGCAGCGGTTCAGCTTAAATGTGTTGAAATGTTTTGTCAGTTTCTGATACTGTTTGTATATAGGACTAGATTTATTATTGAGCTGTAGCTCTCTTCTCTGTGTGGATCACACACTGGCTCTCTGGATTTGTTTATGGGCATTCCGTTGTGTAGAAAAACAGACAGGCTTATCAACAAATAATATTCATTAATTATACTCCCCCAGACACATTTTTTCAAAAATACAAAAAAAAACCATACAGAGCAGACATGGCAAAATAAAATGTTTAGCATCATGTAATTTTACAGTATGAAATTTCAATCTGCATTTTGTGGGGGGGGGGGTTCTTTTTTTTTTTTTTTTTTTTTTTTTTTTGGAAAAAAAAATTAGACATTGAACAAAGCCTGATATTTGGCTAATTGTTGTTATATTTTTTATCACATCAGTCTCTGCTGCACAGAGATAGAAGGAAGAGGGGGTTACTGTATCTTAAAGATAGGGGGACAACTCTTTGTATAGAAAATCCCCAGTATAAAATAGAAATGTTTTATATGTAACTTAATTCTTCATTACATGGATGTGATCCTATGAATTGATTTTCAGGTATATGTCAGACATTTATTATGAAAACCTCAGTGTAATGCACCTATGTATTATAACCATATTTCATTTAGAGGTCTATAAATATCCAATATGTACACTTAATATTAAATGTGTGGGAATCTGCAGTTTGTTCACATACTGATGATTGCTTGGAAATAAATCTTATGTTAGTTCACTAATTTTGAGTTAAAGAAAAACATGGATTGAGTAATAGAAGAATGTAGGGTTAAGTTAGTGCGCGTATTTAACAGTAGGCGACAAGTAACACTGAAATGATTCAGACTTGACTTTGAGTAGGACTAAGTTATAATTGGTACTTAATGCAGTCATTCATAAAGTCCCTTCCATCCTTAGTAATTTTGACACGCTAGTTACAGTCATGATGGGGGCTGTTTACTATCAGCGGTCCATGTGTGTAGACCTACACAGCTTTACCTGAGCATCGGTTCATCGTCCTGATTCATTACAGAGAAAACTGCTGTTTTATAGGAGTCTCTTATCATATACCACATCACAAACGGACAACCATGACCTAAATTGTGGCAAATCTCTCAAATTTCTCTCAAGAAATGCAGATGGCAGTTCATTTCATATTCTATTGTCATATAACTTCTACTGTTAGAGATTATCTGTGGAATAATTAAAACTAGTCAGAATAAAACAGTTTATAATCTAATGAATTTAATTATGTATATTTTGAAAATGTTGGCTTCAGTTGGAAAATTCATCTTTATAAAAACATATATGCATGCCATTGAAACTGTCGTCGAGATTAATGTTATTGTACTCAAAGTAAAAAGGTTTTTAAAATATTTGTAATGCACATCAATTAGAAGCGATTTTTAGTGAAAGCATAACTGAATTGGATTGTCCCATTGGGTTGTCATGACAACGATAAAAAGCTTTGTAAGATTTTTAAATTCTTAAGCTGTGACTCATATTACATACCTGAGATAGAGGCTGTTCTGACAATGACTGATTGAAAGTGACCCTTTGTTGACAAGGTTAAATAAGGTCAAGGAAATCATTTCATAATAGGGCACCAGATATTAACTCAGCATGCAGACAAAAAAAAGTCAAGAATTTTAGTCTTTTTTTTTTGAGTTGATTTTTTTTCTGGGAGGTGTACCTGTAATAAGATAAGTTGAGTTTTTTGTGTTTTATCAGTGAGTGTGTGGGGAGGTCACTTAAGATGATTCAGTGTTCTATCTCTCCCCCAAAACTTCCCCACAAACTCGGGCCAGCTCCGATTTCATTTTCACACTTGATGAACTTTGAAATCTGTATGTGTGTGTGTTGTCTTTGGATCATAACAATAAAGACGGGGGATTATTAGGTCATCATGCAAATTTTCTGTCTTTACTACGTGTGTTAATCAGCTGGAGTTCAATTTCTCTGTAGATATTTAAGTTGGCTTTTTATATTGGATAAGGTGGAGAGGAATGCTCAGGTAGTTTAAATGTTTGAGCTACAATTAAAGGAATGTAGTCCGATTATATTGTGTACCGCATGTCTAGTGATAAAGAGATTTCAGTTGGAAGGTCACACATGAATTTATCAAACGGGAAAGGTATCAGTTGTACGGGCCTGACATCCTCCACCAAGGGAGAGCACTCTCTCATCACCAGGTCAGTAGACTGGGGAAAACAGGATCTCATTGATAAATAATGTTTATGACAAAATCAGCAGTGATACACGGATAATGTTAGAGGGGCACGGTATGGGTTATGTTTTACCGGGTCTCGACGTACACTTTGCTTGTTTGATGTTTACGTTTTGGAGTGTGTGTCGAGATAAGGACTTCTCTTTTTGGAGTGACACAGGCTTATAAAGAAGCTGTCAGCAATCTAGGTTGTTGATACAATGTTTTACTTCTAAGAATGCATGTCGGTAATTGTCAAGTGTTTGTAGTAGTGCATTAGATTGGTAATAAAGATATAAATTCACTCTGCTAGGTGTAAAAGTAACAGATGTGTCTGATGTTTTCCTGTTACCTACTTATTGATGCTCCTCTTGTCTTGTATCACAATACTCAGTATCGTTTATTTTGCAGTTAATAAGATTATGATTTAATTTAAACACAAAAGTTATTATTTATTTTGAAAATGAGCACAAAATGATGATTGTTCAATTCTTATTGGTTTAACAGTTCCTAATGTATTTTATTTTTAGTCATATTTTCATATACTCATGAATAAACTTTAATACTTTCTTTGTTTTCTTTTCAGATAAAATGTGAATTTGATTGAAAAAAAAAAGTCCAACATGGTGAAGTAAATTTGAAAGAAGATGTTAGGTAACAGACATGGAGTTTCCAAATATTGACTAAAAATAGATTTATCTATAAGATATTGACTAAAAATAGATTTCTCTACAAAATATTGACTAAAAATAGATTTCTCTTCAAAATATGGACTAAAAATAGATTTCTATACAAGATAGTGAATTAGATTTAATTGAACTCATCAAGCAAATTAAAAGTTATGGGATAATTGTGACATTTTTCCACATTGCAGCTCAGCATAACCCTTTCAAACTATTGTAAAGATATATCATTTAGGCCAAAATTATGTCCTTTATAGTATATTTATATGTTGCTAAACAAGCCATCTGTATAATTTTCTTGAGCAGTGGCTGTTCCATCAATGCAACATACAGTAACATAAATTATCAATAATACAATATTTAATATTCTTAATCCTATTTTACATTATTATTCATACAGACATAAATATACCAATAAAATGTTTGTTTGTTTATCTTTTTTCTGCAACAACTGGAACTTTTTTTTTAAGTGCTAATACCAAAAAAGTTAAAGTTAAGAATATTGAAATGTTTGGCAAGAACTTTCTGACTGATGAACATAAAAAGAACCTATTGCAGACTTGTAGTACTTTTCTCTGTTTTCATCAATTTCCCAACCTTTGTTTGCAGAATTTTTTTATGCCTCCCTTTGAAGAAGGGAGTGCATGTATATTGCTTTGCTGTCGGTCAGTCTGTCTGTCAGTCCACCAACCGTTTCTGTGCATTTCCTTCACAGAGGTTGCACATACTGAAATGAAATTTGGTAAACAGATTTATCATAAAAATGTATCTAGTTCAAGTTCTGTTCTGGATACGATTGAGCAATTTTTTGACAAAGTTATTCCCCTTAGACAATTTTCTTTTTAAAAAAAATAGTTTGATTTTGTGGATAAGGTTTCATAATGGATAAGATTGTTAAGTAAATAATAAGTAAAATTTGATGTCATTCACAACATCATTGTTTAATGGAAAATCAGTTTTAGAATGACACAGTTATGTATCATGTGATTGTAATTTTTTTTTAATGCCATTATTTTTTTTTTAATTTTCAGGTGGTCAAAAGCCCAACATACAATGTCTACATGTTCAGGGGATATTACTCTGGTGAGTATAAGGAAATAGTCTATCTACACAACAACCTTACTATAATCCTAAACTATAAATCCTACACTGCCAGCCGTGTAAAGTCATTCTACAATCCTAAACTATAAATCCTACTCTGCCAGACATAAAAACTCATTGTACAATCCTAAACTATAATCCTACACTGCCAGACATAAAAACTCATTGTACAATCCTAAACTATAATCCTACACTGCCAGACATAAAAACTCATTGTACAATCCTAAACTATAATCCTACACTGCCAGACATAAAAACTCATTGTACAATCCTAAACTATAATCCTACACTGCCAGACATAAAAACTCATTGTACAATCCTAAACTATAATCCTACACTGCCAGCCATAAAAAGTCATTCTACAATCCTAAACTATAATCCTACACTGCCAGACATAAAAACTCATTCTACAATCCTAAACTATAATCCTACACTGCCAGCCATAAAAACTCATTGTACAATCCTAAACTATAATCCTACACTGCCAGCCATAAAATCTTGCTCTACAATCCTAAACTATAATCCTACACTGTCAGCCATAAAAACTCATTGTACAATCCTAAACTATAATCCTACACTGCCAGGCATAAAAACTCATTCTACAATCCTAAACTATAATCTTACACTGCCAGACATAAAAACTCATTGTACAATCCTAAACTATAATCCTACACTGCCAGACATAAAAACTCATTCTACAATCCTAAACTATAATCCTACACTGCCAGACATAAAAACTCATTCTACAATCCTAAACTATAATCCTACACTGCCAGCCATAAAAACTCATTGTACAATCCTAAACTATAATCACACTGCCAGCCATAAAATCTTGCTCTACAATCCTAAACTATAATCCTACACTGTCAGCCATAAAAAGTCATTCTACAATCCTAAACTATAATCCTACACTGCCAGACATAAAAACTCATTGTACAATCCTAAACTATAATCCTACACTGCCAGACATAAAAACTCATTCTACAATCCTAAACTATAATCCTACACTGCCAGACATAAAAACTCATTGTACAATCCTAAACTATAATCCTACACTGCCAGCCATAAAAACTCATTGTACAATCCTAAACTATAATCCTACACTGCCAGCCATAAAATCTTGCTCTACAATCCTAAACTATAATCCTACATTGTCAGCCATAAAAACTCATTGTACAATCCTAAATTTTAATCCTTCACTGCCAGCCATAATAGCTCATTTTACTATCCTAAACTAAAATCTTACAATATAATCTTACACTGTCTTGAAAATTCTTGAATGGGATATAAAACAACAAACAATCAATCAATGTTTTCAAGAATTTTTTTTTAGATATAAAGGAGTGTGGAAAATTTTTGGGATTTGATTAAAAAGATAGAGAAGAATCTGAAAATTAAAAAAAATTAAATAAAAGCAGGTGTTCAGTCCTCTAAAACAAGACCTTCCATTTTTTATAATTAATCAAGCCTAATTATATTGATCCTTTAGAACACAAAGACATCACCATGTCAGCATTTTTGTACCCATATTACATCACACACAAGAGTCAGAAAAAAAGCTGGAGAAAATTAATTTGAGGAGTAAGTGTTATAAAAGAGTCTGTGACTGCCGTCAGAAAGGGCACTGGTCGTGATTATTTAACAGTGTTAATAGAGACCGCTATCTATTGATTTGTAAGACTGTGTGCTGTGGGATCAACATGGTGAAGGCAGATCGCTCCACATCAACATACGTTAATAATTCACTCCCTACAACTGATCTGTCTCCTAAAAAACTCCAGGCTGTTTTATGTCATTTAAGTAGTTAAATTATCACATGTTTTAAAATATTCTGCATTATTGGAATGCTCATTAAGCATATTGACTTAGATAATGCCTTTATTTAATTATATATGTAAGTGTAATGTATATATGTATTAATATATCACTAATGATTTGGAGAAATCCAGCATTCTGTGCTGTAGTTGAAGTGTTTTACCTTGACTTAATACAATAAGTTGTCTGGTATAACAATTACTGTAATGATTTGTCGGAGAAAGTAAGTGAGAAAAACTAAGGTTTTTGTTCTTTATTAATATAGAAACCAGAGAGTGTTATTGATTTTCTTAGGCAGTGTCACCACTTAAATTTCATCTTGAATGGTATAAGAAATATATAAACTGATACCCACATATTGTCAAGTGTTAATCTGAGTGTATTTTGAAATGACAGGAAAGTACAGAACGTTATATAAAGTGTGATCCTGGAGTGTGAAGCGAAGAAGCCGAGTCTGGAGGCCGCAGACACCGCCGGCACCCCGTCAGCTACCGCCAAGATGCTGCCGGAATCAGCTGACAAAGTAGCCACGGAACTCAACGGCACCGCCGTCAAATCTGAGGTCAAGGCTGAGGTCAAGGAGGAACCATCAGAGGAGAATCGGAGCACGGAACTGTGTACCAATAACTCCTCAGGACCGCCCAGTAACAAACTGACCAATGGGGAGTCGGGTAGGTACCACAAAGCACCAATAACTCCTCAGGACCGCCCAGTAACAAACTGACCAATGGGGAGTCAGGTAGGTACCACAAAGCACCAATAACTCCTCAGGACCGCCCAGTAACAAACTGACCAATGGGGAGTCGGGTAGGTACCACAAAGCACCAATAACTCCTCAGGACCGCCCAGTAACAAACTGACCAATGGGGAGTCGGGTAGGTACCACAAAGCACCAATAACTCCTCAGGACCGCCCAGTAACAAACTGACCAATGGGGAGTCGGGTAGGTACCACAAAGCACCAATAACTCCTCAGGACCGCCCAGTAACAAACTGACCAATGGAGAATCAGGTAGGTACCACAAAGCACCAATAACACAACGGGACCGCCCAGTAACAAACTGACCAATGGGGAGTCAGGTAGGTACCACAAAGCACCAATAACTCCTCAGGACTGCCCAGTAACAAACTGACCAATGGGGAGTCGGGTAGGTACCACAAAGCACCAATAACTCCTCAGGACCGCCCAGTAACAAACTGACCAATGGGGAGTCGGGTAGGTACCACAAAGCACCAATAACTCCTCAGGACCGCCCAGTAACAAACTGACCAATGGGGAGTAACCGCAAAGCACCAATAACTCCTCAGGACCGCCCAGTAACAAACTGACCAATGGGGAGTCGGGTAGGTACCACAAAGCACCAATAACTCCTCAGGACCGCCCAGTAACAAACTGACCAATGGGGAGTCGGGTAGGTACCACAAAGCACCAATAACTCCTCAGGACCGCCCAGTAACAAACTGACCAATGGGGAGTCGGGTAGGTACCACAAAGCACCAATAACTCCTCAGGACCGCCCAGTAACAAACTGACCAATGGGGAGTCGGGTAGGTACCACAAAGCACCAATAACTCCTCAGGACCGCCCAGTAACAAACTGACCAATGGGGAGTCGGGTAGGTACCACAAAGCACCAATAACTCCTCAGGACCGCCCAGTAACAAACTGACCAATGGGGAGTCAGGTAGGTACCGCAAAGCACCAATAACTCCTCAGGACCGCCCAGTAACAAACTGACCAATGGGGAGTCGGGTAGGTACCGCAAAGCACCAATAACTCCTCAGGACCGCCCAGTAATAAACTGACCAATGGGGAGTCGGGTAGGTACCACAAAGCACCAATAACTCCTCAGGACCGCCCAGTAACAAACTGACCAATGGGGAGTCGGGTAGGTACCACAAAGCACCAATAACTCCTCAGGACCGCCCAGTAACAAACTGACCAATGGGGAGTCGGGTAGGTACCGCAAAGCACCAATAACTCCTCAGGACCGCCCAGTAACAAACTGACCAAATGGGGAGTCGGGTAGGTACTGCAAAGCACCAATAACTCCTCAGGACCGCCCAGTAACAAACTGACCAATGGGGAGTCGGGTAGGTACCACAAAGCACCAATAACTCCTAACAGTAACAAACTGACCAAGGACTACCACAAAGCACCAATAACTCCTCAGGACCGCCCAGTAACAAACTGACCAATGGGGAGTCGGGTAGGTACCACAAAGCACCAATAACTCCTCAGGACCGCCCAGTAACAAACTGACCAATGGGGAGTCGGGTAGGTACCGCAAAGCACCAATAACTCCTCAGGACCACCCAGTAACAAACTGACCAATGGGGAATCAGGTAGGTACCACAAAGCACCAATAACTCCTCAGGACCGCCCAGTAACAAACTGACCTATGGGGAATCAGGTAGGTACCACAAAGCACTATTAACTCCTCAGGAGGTACCACAAAGCACCAATAACTCCTCAGGACCACCCAGTAACAAACTGACCAATGGGGAGTCGGGTAGGTACCACAAAGCACCAATAACTCCTCAGGACCGCCCAGTAACAAACTGACCAATGGGGAGTCGGGTAGGTACCACAAAGCACCAATAACTCCTCAGGACTGCCCAGTAACAAACTGACCAATGGAGAATCAGGTAGGTACCACAAAGCACCATTAACTCCTCAGGAGGTACCACAAAGCACCAATAACTCCTCAGGACCGCCCAGTAACAAACTGACCTATGGGGAATCAGGTAGGTACCACAAAGCACTATTAACTCCTCAGGAGGTACCACAAAGCACCAATAACTCCTCAGGACCCCCAGTAACAAACTGACCAATGGAGAATCAGGTAGGTACCACAAAGCACCATTAACTCCTCAGGAGGTACCACAAAGGAACAATAACTCCTGACCAATGGGGAATCAGGTAGGTACCACAAAGCACCAATCACTCAATGGGACCGCCTAGTAACAATTCGACTAATGGGGAGTCAGGTAGGTACCACGAAATGAGAAAGTCTGTGCAATAGAGAATTCGGATTTATTATTAATTTGTCTTTTGTTAAAAATCTGACTAACAAGAAATAGTGTATCCTGAATTTTTAAAGTGCAAAAAAAACTGATATTTTCAGTAGTTTAATTCCATGTGACTATTTTCTGAATTTTGAAAGAATTTTTTTTTTTGCAGAAAACAACAACCATGCCTTTGACAAAGCGAAAGTGAAAGAAGAGAAATTGCCTCGTGAGTATTTGTCACTGTCTATCACGTACAGAACTGTAGGTCAGACTGGACTTTGTAAGTTATCTGAGTCACTCGGGTGATTTATTTTTGCTGTCTTTTGTCTCTAGTCATGTGGATGTCTTTTGTACCTGAAATTTTTACATTGAACTCTTTCCCCTTGTTGGAAATTTTGAAAATTCCTACATATCTTCTACATCTTTTTACCAGACACCAGTAAATATTTTATTAAATCATAGAGAGTAAAAGTTGTAAAGAATGTCTTGGTCTTTCCAAGTAATTTTAAGAGGGAAATTTTAAGTTCATGACATTCTGAATTACCTTTCATAATTGAATTTTTTTTATTTAAATAAGTTTTATTCTAGATTGACACAGATTTTGTGTCAGATCATATTGGATTGGAAAATCATGCTCTCTAAGAAGGAAAGATTACTGTCTTAAGACATTATTTTCTATTACCAAAAATTTGATGTGAATAGGATAATTGATTTGAAACGTTCTAGCACATACATGTATCTATCACATTAAAACAATATCACTCCAGGTATTATCACAGTTATCAACTTTTCACAGGACTTCTTACAAGAATCACTGGGCCAATTTTGACCAAACTTGGTACAAAGCACAAATTTAAATTGTTAAAATGAAGGGACATATCCCCTCGCAAGGGGATAACCCATGAAAGACAAAAATATATAAAAATCTTCTTTCAAGAACCACTGGGCCAGTAAAGCTGAAACTTATGTGGAAGGTGGGGTAGTGTGATTATAAATTGTTCAAATCATGACCCCCAGGGGAAGACCACAGTGGGGAATCAAAGTTTTATATAGAAATATAAAAATAAAACCTTTTGTGATTTAGAAATCATGGCGGTATAACGAATTTGGCGATGAATTGAATTTCCCATCTTTTAGGAAACAAGAAGTGAATAGAAATACCATAAAGCGTTTGATTCATATATATACATGTATATAAAACATATTTCTAAATTTTAAAATACTTCAAGTATTTTTTTATGAAATAAAGACAAGTACATGTGCATCTATGTACATGTAAATCGGCACGTCTGATATTGAAAAAAAACATGCTGGGTCGATCGTCGTGATATGTTGCTAAAACGTAAAATTATATATAATTGTTTATGGCATCATTGTTAGTGAAACGTTCACAATTGATACCGTATAATTATTTTTAGGCAAACTTTGCATTGTTTAAAGCAGAGATCATCAAAAAAAATATTGTATTCTGCGTACTATCACAACTACCCCTTTAGTGGCGAAGCCGTGATTAAACGATTTTTTAAACAAAACAACAGAACAACATCATTGTAACAGTTCATATTAAAATTATTTGTTCATTTAATTCTAATCTAATTATTTAATTGCGTATACCTTGTCTGGCTTTGCATGCTTTACAACAGGGATTAAAATTAGCCGCACTTCACTGACCGCACGCACCTGTGGCGGTATATTAATTGACACTTAAAAATGGACGTTTGTATTGAAAACAAATTCGAATTTGGCGTTATAAAGAGAATTTTATATAGCAGGAAAAACGTTAATGGGAAATCATGGCGGTATTGCGAAAATGGCGATGAATCGAATGGCGATTGATGTTAGGAAAAATCTTTGAAAATCTTCTTTAACTGTTTTACCACTGGATCAGATAAACTTATATGGAAGTATCCTGGTATAGTGTAGATTCTAAAATTGCAAATCATGACCCCCCGGGGCCACAATGGGGAATCAAAGTTTTACATAGAAATATATAGGAAAAATCTTTGAAAATCTTCTTCTCAAGAACCACTGAGCCAGAAAAGCTGAAACTTATGTGGAAGCATCCTGGTATAATGTATACTGAAAGGAAAAAGAAACGCATAATAGCATAATTTCGAAATATATTTAACTATATGTCCGAAAATTTTGAAAATTTGTCAAATGTTTATTTTGATTACTGTGCACTAAAATTGCTGGTCAAAATTACTCAACCATGAAATGTATGGCGTCACGTAGGGGAAATGATAAAAAGCCAAAAACACGTGCATGTTGATGATGACAATTTTATGATCACATTTTGTGGTGCTAATCGATGCATTGGAGTTATAGACATCGTTTTCCGCATTTGAAATCAGTATAAATTTCGTGCAATCATGGTATGGCTGACGGAAGTTTCACTGGTTCCAGTTATTGAATTGCATAAGTGAATACAAAGGCAACAATATGTTGCTGTGCAGTTTGTTTTAAACTTTTCAACAAAAAAAGGTTTTTCAGTTGTCAGAGAGTAAATTAAAAGGTTTCCAACCAACGATGGCGGTGACGTTGACGCGAAACAACGTCACATCAGACAGGGTTTTTGATCATGTCACCTTTTTGTCAAGGTGTTATCACTGAAACCGATATTTATACAGCAAACCATCATACCAATATTTTCACCCTAAAATTGACAGAAATTCTGTGCTCTAATTTGGTCCGCGAGCTTGGCAACTTTTACGTCGATTTTACTCTCACGCGCGCACATACGCGTCGTGCGCGTAATGTTTTTAGCATGTTCACACTGGGAAAATGTAGTGTTTGTCGAGACTTTCTCACAAACATTCACGTGTACCAAACCAGCTGGAGTAAATTCTATAAAATGAAAATTCGTGGCACTCATTTCAGCATAAAGTTGGCTTTGGAACAATACAGCTTCTATCAACCATTAAGACTATTGTCGGAAGCGTTGAATAATAATCAAACGAGAAAGATAAATCCTCTGGTGAACTCAATGCACAGGAAAATCAAGGCTGTTACCAATGTGCAAGGGAGATGATGAGAATTTTTATTTTAATTTTGGGGGGTATCGACATATCAATTTCAATAACCTCTGCAAAGTCACACAAGATTTTGGTAACTTGTAGATTAAAGATGAATTAAAATGTTTGATAACAATACTGGAAAACCGAAATAATAGTTTTAATTTAATTTAAAAGTAAAATATGCGTTTCTTTTTCCTTTCAGTATAGATTCTAAATTGTTACATAATATTTCGGGGGATGGTGGGGCCACACTGAATCAAAGTTTTATATAGAAATATATAGGAAAAATCTTTGAAAATTTTTTCAAGAATTTTGTGCCAGAAAAGCTGAAACATATTGGAAGCATCCTGGAAAATTCTAAATTGTTCAAATCATGACCCCCAGGGGAAGGGCGGGGCCACAATGGGGTATCAAAGTTTTACATAGAAATATATAGGAAAAATCTTTGAAAATCTTCTTCTCAAGAACCACTGAGCCAGAAAATTTGATGTGGAAGAATAATGTAGATAATTGTTTTGAAGGGCGGGGCCACAATGGGGAATCAAAGTTTTATATAGAAATATATAGGAAAAATCTTTGAAAATTTTCTTCTCAAGAACCACTGGGCCAGAAAAAGTTAAGCTTATGTGGAAGCATTCTGGGGTAGTGTTTTCAAAGATGACCCCCCGGGGGAAGGGCGGGGCCATTATAGGGAATCAAAGTTTTACATAGAAATATATAGGAAAAATCTTTGAAAATCTTCTCAGGAACCACTGGGCCAAAAAAGCTGAAACATATGTGCCCATGGAAGGATCATGGGGTAGTGTAGATTTCAAAATGTCTAAATTATGATCAGTGGGGTAGGGTGGGGATGCATTATGTATAACAAGGGTGAAATCTGGTAAAGAACAGAATGGTCAAAGCTTCTCAGGTGAGCGATGTGGCCCATGGGCCTCTTGTTGTACTTGTACTTGTAATTGAATATTTTTACAATAACCATTGCTAAATGTTAACTTAAGAGATCAATTTTCAAAGATGACGAGTATATGTAGAAGAGTTAGCAAAGTTGATAGGAAATGTAAACAATATCTGATTTGTTGTAATGTCATTTACAGCACAAACTCTGATATGTTTTATGTCGTTTACAGCACAAACTCTGATTTGTTTTATGTCATTTACAGCACAAACTTTGGCAGAAATCCTCTCATTTGTTTTTTGTCATTTACAGCACAAACTGATTTGTTTTAAGTCATTTACAGCACAAACTCTGATTTGTTTTATGTCATTTACAGCACAAACTTTGGCAGTAGTCCTCTCACTGATATGTTTTATGTCATTTACAGCACAAACTTTGGCGGAAATCCTTTGATTTGTTTTATGTCATTTACAGCACAAACTTTGGCGGAAATCCTCTGATTTGTTTTAATGTCATTTAGAGCACAAACTCTGATTTGTTTTAATGTCGTTTACAGCACAAATTCTGATGTTTTATGTCATTTACAGCACAAACTCTGGCGGAGGTTCTCAGTGAGGACACAGATGACAGACGATCCTCCCCTGCCAAAGTCCCCCCTCCTCTGGGCCCCAATAAGACGCCCCAGCCTCCCAAAACATCCAAGTCACCCATAGCTGCTGCCCCCATCACGTCCCGGGGGACTCCTCCGGCCAGTCACCCCCACCCTCAGCAGGCCCCGCCCACCAGCGGGGATTCCCAGTTCATGCAGCAGCAGAGCCAGATATTTGTGTTCTCCACGCAGATGGCTAACGATGCAGCGGAGACTGTGATGGCGGGACAATATAAGAACATTCTCTCATTCCACATGGACCAACCCAACACAAAAAAGTTCCTTCAGGTCTGTTCTGTTTGTAGTGAGCAAGATTTCTCCTCATAATTTCAGAATGGTAGATTATAATTAGTGTTACATTTTATTTCGATTATTTTAACTCTTGACAATTTTGCTTGTTCTCTTAATTACAGTTTATTTACTAAGATGATCATTATTAAATGTTACCATGATTTACTGTTTTACCAAAGCTTATATATGACACATTTGCTATTTTTCTGTTTTATTTTTCAAGATTAATGCATGGAAATTAAAGACTTACATTTTCATTTTATAATCGATCATTTTTAAAATTTGCAGAAGCATCAGATGAAGATTCACCCATTTGCTGGAAATTCTGGAGGAATGCCCCCTCGGAATGTGAGGCCAAGTCTGATGATGAAGAACCAGGGAGGATCAGGGGGACAATTCCCCCCAAGTTCCTCTGTGGAACAGTGGGTCCAGCAACAGAACGCCCAGCTACAGGAACAGTATAGCTTCCCCCCGGGCATGAACTCTAGAAGTGGGAGTAACCCAGGCATGCCTCAGTGGCAAGGGGGCATGATGGGTGAAGGGTTTGATTCTATGGCAATGGCCGGGGGACTAGGACCTCACCATCCCAGTCTGAGTCAACAAAAAGTGCCTAATGAAAATTTAACCCCTGAACAGTTGAAAAAAAGAAAAGACGCCTTGCAGAACTTGCAGAAAATACAAGAAATGTTGTTTCCGGAACAACACCCCCAACATTTTGGTCCAGGACAGGGGCCTGGGCCAGGGATGGGTGGTGGAATGATGCAGGAAGGGATGCCAGGGGGCCCCATGATGCAGCAGAACATGATGTCTCCTCCACACAAGAGAATGAACACACAACAGAGTATGCCCGGCCATGACATGATGCCCCAGCAGGGTATGATGGGACCTGACGGCATGATCGGTTCTCCAAATAACATGATGCCCATGTCGCAGTATGGTGCAGGCCCATCCTTCATGGGCCCGCGAGGCCCCGGTCCACAGGGAATGCACAACATGTCCCCAGCACAGCACGAGTGGCAACGTCTGCAGCGTGAATTCTATATGGAGAAACGTCAACAAGGTATGGCTCAGCGTATGGGCCATCCTAACATGGAAATGGCAGGAAATGGGCCTCCCCCTCCTTCCTACCAACACTCAATTGCTCAAAAGCGTGGCTCTGTAAGCTCTACCTCTCCTAACTGTAATGGACCTCTTGGGTCTCCCCCACTGGTTTCACAGGGTGTTTTTGATTCACATGACATGTTTTCTCAAGGACCACGTAGGTCTTCGTTTGGATCTCGATCTCTTGAACAAGGACCGATGATGAATCCTGGGATGGCTCCCGGTGGCCATTTTGATCCCATGATGACTAACTTACCAGGGTCAGGAGCTATGGCACCTGGCATGCCTGGTCCCATGCATGGGCGACAGCAAAAAACTTCACGTCGGAGCAGTTCCTCAGAACTGCAGCGTGTAGGCAATCCCGAACCCCTCCTACCTGATCTGGTTCCCAGTAGGCCGTCGTCGGGAACCAGTGTAGGAAATAGTGTAAGTAAGCCACCACCTAGCTATGCACAACATGCACAATCACAGAAAAGGAAACGATCCGAAATCGAGGAAGACCTCTACAAAAATTTACAACCTACACCCTCCCCCCAGCAAATTAATTACCTCAACCAGTTTGAAGGACAGGAGCTAACAATTACAAAACAACTCAATTCTGCATATCGTGACCCAAATACACCGGAAAATCATGGACCGGGAAATCAGTTTGGATCAAATCCTGTGGCTCATTCACCCATGCATTTGAATTCAGGAACAAACAAAGGCCCCATGTCTAACTCAAGTCAAACTTCCAGTGTAGGACCTTTAAATAGCCCAGGACCTGTTCCTGGGCCTAACCCACTCTCCGGAGCCAACATGAGACTCTCGCATTATGACCCACCCCCTGTGACAAACTCTACAGCTAATAGCATGTCTTCAACTAATGTGTCATCTAGTGCTCCCCCTACCCCATCAAACAAATCATCTCTCTCCAACATCACTTCATCTTCGCTCGCTGACTTAGCCAAGGGGGTCGAACATTTATCAAATCAAATGCAACAAAACATGATGCAGGGAGGACCTTTTCATAGTATTCAAATGCAAGGACAGCAAGCAACATCAAATACAAGTACATCACAATCCTCAACGATTTCATCCGTGTCATTGACAGAATCACAAACAAACACAACACCTAGTGTTAACAATACATTTGTGAATGCCACCATGTCCATACAACAGTTAAATATCCAAAGTGTCAATGCGGGCCCAGGTGGGCAGAATTACCCAAATTCTCAAATGAATGTGCAACAAATGAATATGGAGCAAATGGGTGGAATGTCAACATCGGCCTCTGGGCCAGGGCATCCAAATATGACCCCATCATCTGTGTCCATGTCGCAGGGCCAAGCCATGATGGGCAATCCAAGCATGGGCCAGGGAGATATGGGCAAAATGCAGCAGCAACAAGCATCTGTTCAAATGGGCAACAAAATAATGATGGCCCAAAATCAGCAGGCTTGTCGGCCAGGTTCTCCAAACATACATTCAGGCAACACGCTGGGAAATGCAAGTGTTCAAATTCAGTCCAAGACCCCCAATACAATTCAGTATCTGCCTGCCCATCCTCCGGCGAACCAGCCAAATCCACCACAGAAACCACCTGATCTCAACTTCATGCAAAGATTCACGACACCAATGAGCAACTTCGATTCAAAAGTACCCACCTCTAAAGTGCAGTATTTCCCAAACCCTCAGGATCAAGTCATGAGGCCTGGGCCTGGGAGGCTGTCACCATTTGCTGGGGGGCCACAAATGGGGGGAATGCCTCCACAACACATGATGCAGCGAGGAGGATCGGCTGGACCTGAATTCTCCTCCATGGGGCCTGGGGGCCCTCCAATGGGAGGAATGAATGATATGATGATGAACAACATGGGGGATAGTATGGGCCCCATGGGGCCAAATATGGGAAACGTGCCACCAGGAATGATGCCTGGTTCAAATGAGCCGGGAATGATGCAAGGTAACATGCGAATGTCTCCAGGTATGATGGCAATGGATCCCATGGGTCCGATGTCCCACCCTAACTCACCACCCTACGACATGGGGCCTGAGCAGATGATGGGGCCAGGGCCCGGTATGATGGGGGGACCAATGACTTCTAGGAGGCCCTCTAGAGGATTTCCCCCTGAGATGATGCAAGGAAGAGGTCCAGCATCCATGGAGATGATGCCAGGAGGCAGCTCAGCAGCAAGGCTCTCGGCCATGAGTAACTTTGGGCCATCAATGCCACCCCACGGGGGACAAATGGCCCACGGAGGGATGAGGATGCCCGGAGGGCCAGGAATGGGGATGGGAGGCCCACAGGGGGGAAGTGTATCTTACAGTGCACAGTATCAACAATTCCAACAACAGTTATATTCTCAAGGACGTCCGCGACAAATGTCACCCATGGAGGGCCTGATGGGGGGACCAGGTGGGCAGTACATGGGCATGATGCCCAATATGCCCGGGCCTTAGTGACCTTGACATTCAGTGAGGAATCTGTTGTTACTTGTTGATTATTATGTAAATTTTTTTCTGATTTACTTTAATATATAATTGATTGACACTAGAAATTCTTTAGGGGTACACATGCTGTTTCAAAAAAATGCTTGAAAAAGTCACAATCTTTGTTAGTCAGGGACCATAAATCATATGTATATGAAAGTCTGCTAAGTTTTTTAAGGTTTATATGTATTGTTTTGTTGAGTCACACCTTGATACTGAATTTCTACAAAGTGCACATTATGGATGGACAGACATTTCACTGCTATTTGGTCTTATACAATAACTTGTTAAAGAATTGGCGATATTTTAAATTATAATGTGTGATTCACACTCGTTCTAGCTATAGAAAGAACTTACCTGACATTTGATTTTCTGGTTGTGATATGGATTTTTTTTTTTTTTCAAAGTGCTACCAAATTTTTATTGTACAGTTTTATACACGTTTAAATATTGACTAATGAACCAAATACTCAGAACATTTTCACTTTTTTTCTCCATGCCCTGTTTTGTATCGAAATTGAGAAACTAATTTCTGAAAAATACATCTGTAAACAAAATAAACTCATTTCATTTTCTCTTTCATCAAATTATTTTGAAAATTGATAGTAGGGTCTCAGAGAACACATTTTTTTGAAAATTGGAAAATATTTTATGAGCTCGGCAAACAGAGGACATTGGCATTTGTGATTATAAAGTAAATAAGGGTACTAAATAACAACAGGGTATAGCTTGTATTAAATGAAACAAATACTACACATTAATAATTTCTTGTCATTGATAGACTTGATTATATGTGAACAAAGATATTCAGAAGTTATTTCATAAGAGTTGTTTCCCTTGCATAGAAGCAGGACGTGTAGGTAGCTTTAGTTGTTTTTTTTACCAAAGGATGACCTACATTTTCTCTTATACCAAAATTAAACATCACTTGGTCTGGATTAAAACGCTAGCCAGATCAGTTTATTTTCCCGTAATTATGGTATGTCTTTCATTTGTACTTCACACAAATTTATGTTTACGTCCATCAGTGATATTATATGACACTATTGAATTATTTTGCTACATTGAATGTGTATTTAACATTTTTAAGCCATCATATTAAACATCGAACAAGATTTAAATACACTGCAAGACATGACATGTACATTGTGTGGTTGTTGACAATTTATATTTTGTCTTTTTTTTTTCCAAGAAACTTACAGGTTTTTTTTTTTTCTTATACATGTATTTAATAAGGATGTCATTTTGGCTACACTTATAACAAAGACTTTATAGTTCTCTATATATTATATACATGTCTTATATATATATATATATATATATATCTATGTCGACATATTGTAAATACGTCATGTACATGTAATGGTGTCATAAATGACCAGCCTCCATCCAGATGTTACATTTCTGTAAATACTTCTTCATTCTGTACTTAATGAATGACAAAGAGCATATCATTTGATGTAGAAGGATTATATACATACTGTTATATATATATTTCTGTTGTCAAGGAAACATGACCTTGACCCTTGACTGCTCTGAAGTTCTACTCGTGCAATACAAGCACCATTATATTTAGACTTTTTTTTTGTAGTTTATTGAACAAGAGAGGTATGTGTGAATTCTGGACAAAACAATGTGGCTTCTTTACAAGATAATAGGCTTAATTCTCTGTCTGTTAATTCTGGACAAAACAATGTGGCTTCTTTACAAGATAATAGGCTTAATTCTCTGTCTGTTAAAAAAAAACTAGTGATATCATTAAAGTGAAAATTGATATTTCAAAGTTTTTGTTAAGGGGAACTGTTCTACGGTATCCAATATAATTACAGGTCTATTTTCAACAAAATGTTTTTATGGAATAATTACACTAAAGTAGATCTGTTAAACTGGGGAGGGCTTTCAGATGAAAATGTTGAAGATTTATAATTTTTGTTATAAGGGGAAGTAACTGTGGCGGAGATTCTATTTTTGATACATTTTATATTGTTGACTGCTGAGACATAGTAAAAGTAGGTCACACATGTCTAAGAATGTGCCATTGATTCCGAGACTACGTGTTAACGCGTTTCACTTCCTGTCTATTTATTGTGAACTAGAATCAGTGGAGAGATTGGTTATATTTCTACAAAATGTTGATTATTGGAGAATGAATGAGGTTCTTTGTAGACAGTTTTTCAAACATTAAAATGTCATTCATATAAACTTGTATGTTGTTTGTTTTAATGATCATCAAGTCCTCAGTCCAATAAAAACACTCATAACAAATACACATAATTGTGCAGGAAAAATGTTCAAAGACAATGGACTATTTGTGAGCAGAAATTACTGTTGTTTACTTACATTGGGAAAATTAATTATTTAATAATTAATTAAATTTCTTACTATTGGTCTTATATAATGCTAAAATATTTTAATCTATTATAAATTATGTAATTAACGGTAAATAACAATTTCTTTAATCTTACATATAAGGGCAGATCACTCTAACTGCGTAAAACTACCCAATAAAAAGAGCTCTTTGGTGTGCAGTGTTTAGAGCGTCCTTAAGATGAATTAAAGACATTGATGTAGAACAGATGGAACAGCCATTGTTTAAGAAAACTACACAATCACGTGGCTTGCCCAGTGTCGTTCATCCACTGATTAACGGACAATGGTTTTCATAAGAAATAAAGGGAAAAATATTCGTGGATGTATATATAAATAAGAATATCCCCCTCTGGTATCTTGTCCTAATGCCTGGTAAGGTACCTGAATTTTTTGTGAGGAAGCTCTCCTTTTAAGTAGCTATACTTTAATGACAGAATCTTGGAAAAATTATATATTTTTTGAGGAATTAAGGTGTTGTCTGACCAATTCTCTCTAGGCGTCACAGGTGATGAGAAATAAATTTAAAAAAAACCCTACAATGACCAGATAGGCCGATACAGAATATAAGAATGTAAGGTGTCAAATATTTATTATCACAGACAACAGTATTGCACATGTACAGTTTGATTATGCAACTCAACAAAAGTCAACATTTCATATGCAATAAATTAATAAATACTTAAAGTTTAACAACGCTGAGTGATTAAATCTCTATTATGACACAAGTGTACTAAAAGTATGAATTAATATCAAAGTCAGAATTCCTTATGGATACAGTTTCGTATTTATCTACAAGACTGAATTTGCTATTTTGCTTCCGTGAAGTAAATCAATGATACCGTATAAGCAGAATTTTTAGCAAGGATTTCATTTTGACGTTATTAGTGAGGGTGCCGAGATCACTAAAATTGAACATCGCTCAAAATTAATTATGTTGTTTTTGTAATAGCATTTTACATAGCATTTTAAAATTGCTAAAATTACCATTTTGATAAAAATATCAGTTGTTAAGGACAAATTGCTAAATTTGTTTCTTGCTAAAATTTTCACTTACACGGTATTATATGATTATTGTACTTTCTACTGAAAATAGTGATACATAATTTTTTATTATTAAGCATAAATTATACATGCACGCACTTATTTTTAAATAATACTTTGAGAGAAATGTAAAGAAACTATGACTGTAAACCCTGAACCAATAAATTATGTCATCAAAATCATGAGCATATAACCTGATTTTATCCATTAAAAACTGCACCTCATCAATTCTATTTGTTAACAAGCTCATCTCATCAATTCTGTTTGTTAACGAGCTCACCTTATCAATTCTATTTGTTATCGAGCTCAGACTCATCTTTCACTGTCTACATCTTAGTGAGAGAATGAAACAAGAATTGGGGGGGGGGGGGGTGTATAAAATGTGTTACCATCAATGTATATCACAGTTTGCAATAAATTAAAACTATTCTAGTTTGGAGCTATGTGCAAATTCCTACATAATCAATTTAAATGCTTCTGAGAAACATTATACAATAATTACAACTATCAATAATACAATGACTTCATATAACAGAAATAAGCTGTAGGCTGAGAATTAAATGGTGACAACAAAGTGAAGTCCTGATTATCATCTTAACAACAGTAAAATCCTAACTTTACTTAGGAAATAATATTTCAATCAAGACTTGAATTTTACATGATCAGAACTATGTTGATGTAGATTTGTCACATGATTCAGAGAACCTGCCAAGAGCTTTTGATATTATACAGAGTACAAAAAACACGGCCATTTTAGTTCATCTGTTAACATTGTTAGCTGAGAATACAAAGTAATGTCTATGCTTTACGCACCCAAATTTTCTTCATAAATGAAAACAGTTTTTCATAACTGTTACTAAAAAAAAATTCATTTGAAATCATTGCTATTAACATCAACAGTCGTCTCAAACTATATTACAAGCTTTTTACAGACATTTTAAATGGAAAAAGGAAGACAATATTGATTTATTTGATTTTCAAAACAAATTCAACTCATTAAAACAATAAACTGTGTATACCGGTAGTTTACCAATTTCTCAATTCCATATCTTAATTTTTAATATTGAAATGTTACCTGTATTATAAAGGGAACTGGGCAGCAACGAAATGAATGGAATTAAATTGAAATATCATAAACTGTGTGAAAAAGTGTATGTGAGCTTTTGTAGAACAATAACTAGTAGCAACTAATACTATGAAAAGTGCTAGGATAACCATAGTAACAATGGCTGCCCAACATTTAGGTCATAACCATAGTAACAATGGCTGCTCAACATTGAGGTCATAACCATAGTAACAATGGCTGTCCAACATTGAGGTCATAACCATAGTAACAACGGCTGCTCAACATTGAGGTCATAACCATAGTAACAACGGCTGCTCAACATTGAGGTCATAATCATAGTAACAATGGCTGCTCAACATTTAGGTCATAAAACTTAGGTCATAACCATATTAACCATGACTGCCTATCCTCTCAGCTCAGGGAATAACTCTTGTACTAGAATGTCCAAAAACACGTAGGATAACTGAAAGATAAAAATATATTGGTTGAAAAATTAAATTGAATTATTGCATCTTATAGTGGAACAATGCCTTATCTCATTAGTATTGAATTTGGCTCTTTCACATGTACAGCTATATGTAATGCATATTTAACATTTTTCAATCAATGCACAGTTCACAGTACATCTAATAAAGCTCCTGATGCATGACAAAGAGAGCAACCTAGCTGATATCCTATTACATTCTGTTTAAGCAGCACTTAATACATGTACAACTGATGCAGCGTCAAAATTTCCTATTGCATGTACCAGTAATTTTCATTATTAATAGCACTGCAAAGTTTATTTATACTATACATATACAAACCTGTTTGTTAAGTTTTGGTTGCTGAAGAACTTCTAACAAGAGTTTTGTCCCCTGTTCATGGTTCTTCCGGCCCACTACTGAGACAAAAGTACCTACAGAACAAATATAGGATTGATTTGGTACCTATAGAACATATATAGGATTGATTTAGTACCTAAAAACAAATACTAAGTATAGGATTGATTTAGTACCTACAGAACAAATATATAGGATTGATTTAGTACCTACAGAACAAATATAGGATTGATTTGGAAAAAAACATAACAAATATAGGATTGATTTGGTACCTACATAACAAATATATAGGATTGATTTAGTACCTACAGAACAAATATAGGATTGATTTGGTACCTACAGAACAAATATAGGATAGATTTGGTACCTACATAACAAATATAGGATTGATTTAGTACCTACAGAACAAATATAGGATTGATTTAGTACCTACAGAACAAATATAGGATTGATTTGGTACCTACAGAACAAATATAGGATTGATTTAGTACCTACAGAACAAATATAGGATTGATTTGGTACCTACAGAACAAATATAGGATTGATTTAGTACCTACAGAACAAACACAGGATTGATTTAGTACCTACAGAACAAATATAGGATTGATTTAGTACCTACAGAACAAACACAGGATTGATTTAGTACCTACAGAACAAATAAAGGATTGATTTGGTACCTACAGAACAAATATAGGATTGATTTAGTACCTACAGAACAAATATAGGATTGATTTAGTACCTACAGAACAAATATAGGATTGATTTAGTACCTACAGAACAAATATAGGATTGATTTAGTACCTACAGAACAAATATAGGATTGATTTAGTACCTACAGAACAAATACAGAATTGATTTTGTACCTACATAATAAATATAGAATTGATTTAGTAGCAACAGAACAAATACAGGATTGATTTAGTACCTGCAGAACAAATATAGGATTGATTTAGTACCTACAGAACAAATATAGGATTGATTTGGTACCTACATAACAAATATATAGGATTGATTTAGTACCTACAGAACAAATATAGGATTGATTTGGTACCTACAGAACAAATATAGGATCGATTTGGTACCTACATAACAAATATAGGATCGATTTGGTACCTTCAGAACAAATATAGGATTGATTTAGTACCTACAGAACAAATATAGGATCGATTTGGTACCTACATAACAAATATAGGATTGATTTGGTACCTACAGAACAAATACAGAATTGATTTAGTACCTACAGAACAAATATAGGATCGATTTGGTACCTACATAACAAATATAGGATTGATTTGGTACCTACAGAACAAATACAGAATTGATTTAGTACCTACAGAACAAATACAGAATTGATTTGGTACCTACAGAACAAATATAGGATTGATTTAGTAGCAACAGAACAAATACAGGATTGATTTAGTACCTACAGAACAAATAAAGGATTGATTTGGTACCTACACAACAAATATAGGATTGATTTAGTACCTACAGAACAAACACAGGATTGATTTAGTACCTACAGAACAAATATAGGATTGATTTGGTACCTACAGAACAAATATAGGATTGATTTAGTACCTACATAACAAATATAGGATTGATTTAGTACCTACAGAACAAATATAGGATTGATTTAGTACCTACAGAACAAATATAGGATTGATTTACTACCTACAGAACAAATATAGGATTGATTTAGTACCAACAGAACAAATACAGGATTGATTTTGTACCTACATAATAAATATAAATTGATTTAGTAGCAACAGAACAAATACAGGATGGATTTAGTACCTACAGAACAAATATAGGATTGATTTAGTACCTACAGAACAAATATAGGATCGATTTGGTACCTACATAACAAATATAGGATTGATTTAGTACCTACAGAACATATATAGGATTGATTTGGTACCTACAGAACAAATATAGGATTGATTTGGTACCTACAGAACAAATATAGGATTGATTTGGTACCTACAGAACAAATATAGGATTGATTTAGTACCAACAGAACAAATACAGGATTGATTTTGTACCTACATAATAAATATAGAATTGATTTAGTAGCAACAGAACAAATACAGGATTGATTTAGTACCTGCAGAACAAATATAGGATTGATTTGGTACCTACATAACAAATATAGGATTGATTGACTGAAATGCAGGATTGCTTAATGGTTGTGACTTAAATAAATCAACTAGAATCAGAATCTGCTTTGAGAAAAAGATGGCCCCAGACAGATGACAGACAAAATATGATCAGAAAAGCTCACATGAGCTAAAAAAAATTTTAAAAAGTTAAAACAATAGGATAGGAATTTTTAAAAATATTTTTTTAATCAACTCTCTGAAGCCCAAGCTTAAGAAAACAGAGTTCTGCAATTCATAAAATGTGGTAATTACTTGGTAAGAAATCCAGACATCCCTGAAGACAAGTGTGATATCTCTCACTCTTCTGTTCATCCGTCCTGTAACAGAAATTTCACTAGGAATGTTGATATATTACAATACATCTGTCTTTCCCATTTAAGCAAGCATGTGTATTTTTTTGTGGTGACACCCATATGCCAATTATTATAAGTTCATATACTAGTATAAAAAAGTTCTTGACCACAAAAATTTCATTACTACCACACTATTAAGAATAAGATTATATGTTAAAGGTCAAGGTCACATTGGATCAATTCACACTGCTTGAAGATACCGAGTCCTCTCACATGCCAAAATTCTAATTATCATATAATAAATTTTACACATTGGAATGACCTCCTAACGGACAACATAATTATAATTCTAAACTTCAAAGTTAATCTTAAGGTAATTTTGAGTAGAAACATATTGTCTTAAAAAATAAAATTTCCATTTACTACAGATCAAAAGCCTAGGCTGAAATATAAAAATTCCAGTTTTCTCACCCCCCCCCTCCCCTCTAAAATTGCAATACATGTATGTCTCTGAAGTCAAAACTAATGATTTTACTCAGAGGTTAAAGGTCATGGTTCTACATGGGACATGGCAAACTTTTCGTTTTTGTTCATGATAACCAACTTGCCAAAGGTGTAAAACCTACTGGTTGATTAAAAGTTTTCATTTTTTTTATGGTTTAAAAACAAAAATGTATGAGAAATTAGGATTTAAAAAAGTTTCAATGTGAAAGGAGGGATGCAGTTAATTAAATACATCTTTTTATTTTTTTCATTTTATCTTTAAAACCAAGTATTTAAACAATACAAACAGATCCTAACATATTTAAAAGTTTACAAAAGCTCAATCAGAAGTAATTACCTAGGAGGATCTTTGTCAAAAAACAACACATCTGAAAAGTAGAAATCCAAACTTACTAATGTTACTCATTTAATTACAATTATTTATATGTACTAGTATGCTCACAATTAATTAAACTTATTTATATGTACTACTATGCTCACAATTAATTAAACATATCATTTTTTATTAATTTTATATGATTTTAATAAAACTGCTCCAGCCTCCAAGCAGTTATGTGTGAACTTACCCCTGAGTAAATGAACAAGGGACACAACTCTGTGTTCCTGAGTGACCTGTTCTACTTTTTGTTCTATAAATAGCTGTAAGTAGTGTTCTAAGGTGGATTTAAATAGAATTCTCCCTGTCATCAGCAGGTGGTGGAACCAATCAGGCACTCCATACACATAACGTGCTAAAAATAGTCATAAAATCAACAAGTTAGAGTGAAATAACACATAGACATAACGAGCTAATGCACGTTACTCAATTTGATTGCACACACCGTTGCAGTTATGAGACTATATCTTTCAAAAAATGATGATTCATTGCTTAAATCACACATACACATAACGAGCTAAAAATAGTCATAAATTCAACAAATTAGAGTGAAATAATGTGTACAGTAATGATGATACATTTTGTTTATGCAAAGTCTTTGTTTATTGACAAAACTGGACCTACAGATATAGACAATGACATCAAAGGGGCCCTCTATTTCCTGTCCTCTATGGGCCTCCATGTCTGAGGTTGCCATGGGATACCACTCTTGTCCGTCCGAGCTCCGAGACAGATTAGAACAAATGCTGTCGTTAGAGTAATTAGCGTTGTTCTCATACAAGCCAGCACACAACTTCTCACTGGAGGTAGACTTAAGGGAGGTCTCAGAGCCTCGCCTCTCAGGTTTACTGAAATAAAACGGAAGATTGATCCTCAAAATAGGTAAAAGGGAATTGCCAGTAGGTTTATTGTTATGTGGGGGGGGGGGAGGTTCATAAAGAGGTTTGAAAAGAAAAAAAAATTTTCTTGCTTTGAAACATAGTCACAAAATTTGCTGCATTGATAACTGCATGAACAAACATGGGGGAAACTTAATCATTCATTTCCATTATTCCTCACCAAGATCTGTGTTTGCTCAGATATTTTGCTAATCTCATGACTGTTTTTTTCTTTCTAATACAAGTACCTGGGTTTAGGAGGTGGAGCTATTGTGGACTGTTCAAAGGAATTCAGATACATGTCTAAATGCTGGCCTCTCTGGAGAGAAAAAATAAACTTGTTATTAAACATCTCCTAACTTATATTTACATGTAAGAATGTGTAAAACTTCACTGTCTAAACAAACCTCTTTGACTAGCTTCATAGCTCCTGACTTGAACATTTTGCCTGTAACAAAAAATTCAAATGAAAAAGAAGAATGATCTCTTGTTTAGATATCACCTTTCTAAAAAACAAGTACATGTAGTTAAAACAGGCATTAAGAACATTTTCTGTTGACCTTTAAATCTGTCACAGAAAAAATATTTTAAAAGCTGTTCAACTGTCATGAGATTATTTACAAATTCAAAGTTTAATGTTTAAATAAACAGATCACAAAACCAACTAATGATATAAAACGTACCTAGTTTAATGTCCGATAAAAACCCTGTAGAGAATTCATGATCTGAGGTCAAGAAGTTATAGAGAAGCTGACTCCCTGTCAGGTAAGGCTTGGTTAACAATTTCTATAGATAAACAAAACAGATACACTTCGTCAGAAGTACAATTACATACAAGAGTACGTGTACTTAAAAAATTCATATCTACTTTAAATGGTAATAGGATAATGAGATTAAATTTATCTTTTTTTTTTTTGGATTCTTGAAATTTCAAAATATAACTAAGTAAATTTTTTTTTAATTAAAGTGACTTGTATATCCAATAATTTTACATTGACTGGACAGATAAACATAATATGTATAACATCCGGCCCATCAGACCTACAAGTCACTTTAAGCAAGTACAAGTTGGTATTGAATTTATTGTCACCTGCAGATAAGCCTCGAATTGTTCTCGCTTGCTCTCAATGAATTCATGTTTATTTGTCCCAATTACTTTCTTTGGAGGAAGTTTGCATTCCTGGAGAAGGCCCTCTATATCAATAAAACTCACAATGTACAGTTAATTCTCGATAAACCGCCACCTTTTGTAATTTAGAAATCGTGGCGGTATAACGAATTTGGCGATGAATTGAATTTCACATCTTTTAGGAAACAAGAGGTAGAGTTATCGTTCTTTGAGATAACATTTTGCCTTTCTTTTCTTATTATTGCATGTACATGTATCTAAAAACATATTTCTGATTGAAAATACTTCAAGTAATTTTTTTAAATGTAAAATTTCGACAAAACAAAATGTGCAGTTATAAAATAAAGACAAGTGCATGTGTATGCATGTAATTTTGCATGTCTGCTATTGAAAAATAAAACATCCTTGGTCGATCGTCGGGATATATTGCTGATAGTTTGCAAAATAAATTCTTGAATAAATTTATTGTTTATGACATTGTTGTTAATAAAACGTTCATAATTTCTACCGTATAATTATTTTTTAAACTTTGCATTCTGTAAAGCAGAGATAATCAAATAAATAATATCGTTATTGGTGAACTTTAACAACAACCGCTTTCGAGACGAAGCCCTGACTAAATGATTTCAATTAAACAGGAAACAAAATTAATTGTTATAACAGTTCATATTAAAATAATTGTTTATTAAATTCTTAATCATTTAATTGCATATACCTTGCCTGGCTTTGCATGCTCTACGACGGGGTAGCGTCATCCAATTAGACGCGCTTCACTGACCACATGCACCTGTGGTGGTATATCGAGAAAATTGACACTTAAAAATGGACGTTTGTTTTGAAAACAGGGTGGCGGATGGCGGTATGCGAATTTGGCGTTATAAAGAAAATTTTATATAGCAGGAAAATCGTTCTTGGGAAATCATGGCGGTATAGCGAAAATGGCGATGAATCGAATGGCGATAATTCGAGAATTGACTGTAATATAATTCATCTCTGTAAAAATTGTCAAGGCACAAAACAGTAAAACATGCTAATAATATACTGCCAAGGATGGGCAACTTTCCTTCATTATAAATGTTATTTGTTACATCCATTAGCCTAACAATATGTTTAAACCCACAAGGAATGAAAATGACTTCCCTATAACATCAATTCATTGTTAGCCTGGTACATACCATGGAACTCTGCTAGCTTGTTTTCAAGAACGTAGAACTCATTATACCGTCTGCAACATAAAATCAAAAGATGATTAAAACACAAGCAAAATTCAGCAATTCCAGCACAGATCTATTTATTCACAAATTCCCTACATTTTCTGGGAATTCTATAGATTACCTAGCAACTGTCCAGTTGGCTTTCTTAGTTTGATCTCCAAGATTCTCATCCGATAGGTCTACCCTACGGACATCAATGATGAACACAAAAAACTGCTTCTTGAAGTTATCGGGGTCCGGCCTCGCTCCGATTCGTGGGATGGAGACGCGCCAGGTACTGAGGTCAGGAATGGTCATCTCCGTAAAGTCCGGTAACTCCGTTAACACAGTATCGGGGATCTCGTCATCCAGGGAATTACACGACTGGGGAGCATAAACATCAATCCCTTATCATTCTCTTTCATTTCTTAAGGTTTGTTACCAAATAATTGTTATGTACACATGTACCGGTACTACTTTTATAGTATAAAATGTGCTTGTAATATAAGTGTACCATGATACTGTATTTACACCTAATTGTCTGCTCATAAAAAAAATTCCTTCTCACATAATTTTCTATAAAAATTAAAGATTATATACAACAAAGTGAAAATTTTGTGTATCTTTTTCTTGCTCACAAACACCAATTAACTCTCTCACAGAATACAGTGTCATAAAAAACGAGGTTATGTACACTACTCACACTTATTGTCACTTTGTCAGCATCTTCAAAATCAAGTCCAGCCTCTGGCAGGGACCTCATTTCTCCTATAATCAGAGTTATGTGCATATAATTACAGTGTTTTTACAGGTGTACTCCATACAGAATCTTACAACTGCTTTTGTGATGATATTCTGTTTTAATGATTTGAATACTCACCACTTTTGAATACACCTTTAATCTTGGTCCCAATGTTGGAAAATCCAAACCTTTTACTTTCCACTGGTCTGTAAGGATGATGATAAAAAAAATAATTCTACAGAATGTTCAAATTATTTCTAGTCAAAAGTATACAATACAAAACAAATATTAAATAAAGAGTAAAAACTGAAATCATATGATGGTACTATAAATAAATGAAGAAAATAACAAAAAAATAATTACATTCATTATTCAAGATAAACTAATATATGAATTGAATATTGTCTCCTTTTTTATAGAAAGAAATAAAATACACCTGTACATATATAGACAAGGGTATCACAATATAAACAATGAATCTGAGTACCTTAACCTTTTATAGTATATATGTACCCTTTTCTGTATATTCTTACACCTCATGCAGTTCAACAGTAACTCAATACAACAGACATGCGACACTTACAGGCTCTACTACTCAAATAACATATTATAGTACTGAATTCTATACCACATGTGTATATTGTATATGGCTATATCTTTTATCAGATATTTGGTTGTTTATTTAATTAAAAAATTGAGACATGTGTACATTTTGTTTCAGTAAATGGAGCATTTGAAAACTGTATACAGATGAACAGACAGACAGAAGGGCAGGCAGATAGAGTCCATCTGATGAATCATTTAACCATTGTATATATATGAGCAACAGTCAACATATATCATGTCTAAATACGTAGAAATATATATGTACATGTACGAGGGGCATTTCAAAAGTTCTAAGAACTGTTTAATAAAAAGATAACCATTTCACGGAAATTATTGAGTTTGATATCATTGGAAAGATCAGAAAAATATACACATATTGTGACGTCACTTAATAATTTTTATGACGTAATAACTCCGAAAATGACATCATAATTCCGCATGCTTACGATACTGGCCGTAAAAATGACGTAACAAAAGATACAATTTGATAAAATTAAAATTTTAAAAACAACTTTTGCTCATTGCTCAGGCGCAAGCTATCGGAAGCAAATGCCAGTTGGCGGAATGTTTACATAGACTACAATCTATCATATGGTGTTCTATTTCGGAGATCTTCTTGTTCTGAAATGGTTTAAGCGATTGTCAAACATCCCATGTTTTTATCGAATCTCGCTCAAAATATCGCGTAAAACAGACCTAATTGTGAGAAAAAGGCGAAGTTGACAATCAAAGAAAAATAGACGATCGTGTTACAAAATTTGATGGCATCAATTCATCAGATGTTTTAACCAGATTTGTGGGATCGATGAAGGCTCAAGAGAAGTTAAGTTTAGTGTGCCCCATATTTTCTCGGAAAATCTGAAATGGCGCGGGCGCAGTTGTAACCCCACCGTACCTCCACATATTCGCAAATTTTAATTCATGGAAATTAAATAAGATTTTACCTGTCTGTGTAACTTATAAACCTTTTTGGAGTCAAAAGTCAAAAGCGGTAGTGAGTTCTGGGGCACCAAAGTTGAATTAATAAGAAAAAATATGCAAAGAAACAAGTCAGGGGCAAGACTTTTGTACATTTTATTTGTAAACCATAAGAGTACTTTTACTCAAAATATATTTGTTGAAAACTGCATTAATATACTTCAGTTTTATGCAGAACATGTTTCATTTCATACAATGGAGAGATTTATAAAAGACCGAAAATCCAGTCATATCTTGTAACAAAATCTTAAATGAATGTCGTCTCGATGATAGCATAACCGGATATAAACTGTGCTAGTAAACAAAGCATACAATGTAATATGGAATTCTTGATAAACTTATTTGCAAATGAAAATTTTCTTTGAAATATTTTTTCAAATAAGCCCTTGACAGCACTTTTAAAATTGTCTCATGTGGATAAAAACGCGAATTTTCAGTATGCTAAACATTCTATACTCTGACGTCATTTTCGGACTTAATACGTCATAAAAATTACAAAGTGACGTCACAATATGAGTATATTTTTCTTATCTTTCCAATTATATCAAACTCAATAATTTCCGTGAAACGGTTAATTTTTTATTAAACAGTTCTCAGGACTTTTGAAATGTCCCTCGTATATTTAAATCTGGGTCATGCATGTGAACACCTGAGGCATGTTCAACAGAACGAACATTCACGAGCGTTTGCCAAAATTCCTAATACCTCCAAGAGAAATGTTTGCGAGCGCGAGCTCTGTTGAACAGGCCTCTGATCTGGTGAAACATAAAATTAGTTAGTTCTAATCTAATGGTCTATAACAGTGTAATATGTTAGTGGGTAATACTGAATTCATACAAGTAAACAATTCAGGAATACAAGACCTGAAAATCTGACTGTTCATAGAGCTACCTGTACATCTGACACTCAGACATTTACACATGTCAAAAGTTTACATGTTATCTATACTGGCTACCAATTCTCAAATAGAACCCTAACATTTGTCAAAGTGAAAATCCTTGGCATTAAGTTTGAACAGTTTTTATGCCATGGCAGCTTTGAAAATGCTTACATTTACACATTTTTCACATCCTAAAAATAGCTAATATATGTACTTGAAATAACAAACAATTTTTGTTTTGCTCAATGCAGAGGAAAAAATGTTCTGTGACTGAATGGTAGCCAGTACATGACTTATCTGGCGAGGGGACAGGTGCCGTACAGTCAGATAATTGGTCAGTAACGGCTGGTAAATTCATTTCAGAAAACTTCCAGAGATAATAACAAGCTCCCAGAAATGAATTTGTTTGGAACATCAGTTGTACCTATTGTTATATAGAACTGGTCTGGATGGGGGCAATACACTGAAATTAAATGTCACAGTAAAATCAAAGGAAAGTAAAGAAACAGAAGTCCTACAACAGTGTACAATTAAATATTCACAGTGTCAGGAAGTACCCCGTAAAAGATAATAAAAAACTAGACACAAAGTAAAAAAGGATAACACTCTTTTTTCATCATCATATTTTAAAAATAGTCTGAAAGTGAAGGCAATTGATGAGATACATGTAAGTTGGAAAAGTCTTTTCAAGGAAGTGAATAGATATGAAATAATACTGGAAATTTACTATAAGTAATCAGTAGAAATATATTCTGCAAATACAAATCTTTCATTGACTCAATGGCTGACTGAAATTTTTTTTCAACTAATACCAATTATTTGCACACACAAATGTCAACAGATTGAAGCACAGGGGATGCTTACTTTTCCATGGCACCTGATCCCACTTCTTATCTGAGGCACTGAGTGGACTTTTGAGCTTGATCACTGTTCATTATCTCCATATATTTCATTTCACTGTACAACAGTACTGGGGCTGACAAATAAGAGTTTTAGGCAATTGTCTTACAGCAAATGCAAGGTCAAATTTCACTTGCCCTGAAATCTGCTCGACCTTCCATCATGACCATGATTTAATACTGTATTTATATAAATTTTAAAAAATAAGAAGACAAATACTGAGTAGATCATGCAAGGCCCTGTGTCCAAGTTTAATTCTTCTACTTGCATGTGGTGTTTCATTTTTTCTGAGTCACTTGCCCACGGGCATGTGGTTAATTAAACGTCACTTGCCCATCCCTAAAATTAACTAGCCCCGGGCATCGATGACTTTTGTCCGCCCCTTGACTGTATCAATAAATTTCAACATTTCTGTTAAACAGGTGAGGTTTGTTTACAGTCAAATATAAAGTGAATCAATATACATGTATGTGACCATTTCGTCATTCCTGTTTTATGCTAAAATGCTCTAAGTTCAGGGTAGACATTTGAATACTTACTTTGGCATGGCCCTCATAATCTGGGCTGGTTCTCTGCTTCCACACAACATGGTGTAGTACTGTCAATATAAAATGTACATGGAGAGGGGGAATACATATAGTACTGTCACTAAAACTGTACATTGAGAGGGGGAATGCAAGATAAAAGTCTGTTAAATCTTCCTAAGGGACAATAATATCAAGTCTGAACTACAGAAATTATAGGACTTCATTTAATAAATACATTTGTAATTCTCTTCATTTGTAGGAATTTTTTAAAAAAAAACTTACATCATCACTTTGATGAAAGAGAGGCAAAAATGTGTTCTCCAGCAAATCGTAGGTGTGGTCATAGGCTCTATAATAGTAACAACCAAATAGGAAAAAGACCAGAAACAATTCATAGTCCAACATGTATTGTACGTTATCAAACTTACTAAATAAAATAGTTATAAATCCTTGATTAGATGAATAACATAATAACACTGGTTAGTTGTTTGTTAATTTATATAGGTGTGGATCCAAGATAAGTTCACCTACTGTATATCTAAAAAGCAGCCAACAAATATCTGTGTTACAAAATAAAACAAAAGTAACCTGTCAGGATATCACAAAAAAAATAAAACCAAAAGTAACCAGTCAGGATATCATGAAAAAAATAAAACCAAAAGTAACCAGTCAGGATATCATGAAAAAAATAAAACCAAAAGTAACCAGTCAGGATATCACAAACAAAATAAAATGAAAGTAACCAATCATAAAACGAAAGTAACCAGTCATGATATCACACAAAAAAAAAAAAACCAAAAGTAACCAATCAGGATATCACGTACAAAATAAAAACAAAAGTAACCAATCAGGATATCATGTACAAAATAAAATGAAAGTAACCAATCAGGATATCACAAAAAAAAACAAAACCAAAAGTAACCAAAAATAACCAATGAATGAACAAATAAACATGCTCAAATGCTAAATGTATGGTGTTTGGAGGAAAAAAAATGCTTTCATATTTATCAAGAAAAAAAATTTAAATTTTAAAATTTCAGCCAAATACATGTTTCAATGATAAATTTAGTAAAATTGGAGAGAAGTTTTATCTTTGTGGATTTTAGTGCTTTATCTGATATCCTACCCTCTGCCAGCTCACTGACAATGGACTCATCAAACTTAATTCTGTCCACTGCATCTTTGGCGCAATAACTCCGGTACAGGTCCTTAGCCGCGTTGTGAAGCTCTACTAGTTCTCCCTGCGACAGATCAGGGCTCAGGATACGGGTGTTAAAATCCTCTGTAATACAGAAAAATAGCTCTCCTCAGTCCATACTCAACACTGGATATATATAAACCAGGATGTGTCTGCCTTATCATATATTGTGATCATAAAATTGCTTTGTGTGTAAACTTTAGTACAATCATAATAACATTTACCTACTATACCTGTATACCTGTACATTATCAACCAAGAAACAAATAAAAATATACTTTTATTTCACATTACAGCAGCTATCTAACTAATTTTACTGACTTACCAATAGCTTAAAATTGAATTACAGAAAAACAAGCTAAGGAGATACTGAAGTACATTTAAAATCCTCATTTTTAATACAGCATGAAGGGGTACAGGTGTTTGGGGTTATTTTAACATGTCCTCTGTAATCTCAGAAAACTGTAACAACATAACAGACAAAAAATCCTCTTAATAGAGAAAAAGACATCTTACACTCTTAACAAAACACTGGAATATTTACAACCTGAGCACTGTGCCTAGGAAAAAGTGGTCAAAAATTCCAGTTTTGAAAAGTTTATATGCATGTAGTGAAATTTACTTACAATACACATATACATTATCAATTAACTTGAACACTATAAAGGATGCTTACATATTTCTTCGACTTACTGTGGCTTTCTTACCTTTAAGTTTTAACTTTCATTTTGGCCCCACCCTACCCCCGGGGTCATGATTTGAACAAACTTGAATCTGAACGCTTACCTGAGGATGCTTCCTTTTAAATATGACCATTCGTGGATGTGCTGTTCTTCATTAGAAGATTTTAAAGATTTTTTCTATATATTTCTATGTAAAACTTTGAGGTCCAATGTGGCCCCACCCTACTCCCGGGGATCATGATTTGAACAAACTTGAATCTACACTACCTGAGGATGCTTCCCTATGAGTTTCATCTTTCCCTACTCTGTAGTTCTTGAGAAGAAGATTTTTAAAACATGCCACCAAATTTTCACTATTTCTTAATTATCTCCCCTTGAATGAGGGCGAGGCCCTTCATTTGAACAAACTTAAATCCCCTTCACCAAACAATGCTTTGTGGCAAGTTTGGTTGAAATTAACCCCATGGTTCTTCAGAAGTTGAAATATGAAAAGTTTACAGGCGGACAGACATTTAGATGGACTGCTATATACAGACAGACTACAGAAAAATTGTGATCAGAATAGGTCATTTGAGCTTTCAGTTTAGGTGAGCTAAAAAAAGGGTGGATAAAATATTATATTATTATTTAGTAACTTTGATAATAAAGAGTGTTTGTCTCCACTTACTGATTTATTTTTAGTCAGAGGTTTGGCAAAATTTTCTAGGAATGGTACACATGGAGAAGGTGGCTCTGTGGCAACAGGTGGCTGAAAAAGTAGGTCAAATTGACACAGATTAAATAAGGTTACAGCAAAAGTAGGTAAAATAGTAATTGTTTGTATACCAAACATTGAGTCTAAAATGACACAAGCTTTTTAAAGTAACTTACAGGCGTTTTATCTAGGAAAATCAGTATCAAGTTGTTCACCATATCCTACAAAATAATCTCTCATAATAAGTACATAATCATTGCATCATCTACAAACTGAACATTGGATTTTTCAGCTATATGTTACCATACAGAGATTACTATTGAAAAGATATTTACACTTCACTGATATTTCTGTAACTAAAACTTCTTTATTAATGGAATGAGATACAAAAATTGGTAAGCAGAGAGAGCACATATAAGTAAATGTCTGTCATAATTTAACATATCTGATTGATAAATAAACTTAAACTGTCAAAAGAGTAGAGACTGGGGGAGAACTTACGGGGTTAGCTACAGCATCCAGAGCTGGGAGGAGGACGGAGCCCGCTAAAATCTCTCTGATCAGGGCACACGTACATCTACAATAAAAATATAATGGTTAACAATCCATACATATAAAACAAAATAATACAGCTAAGATCTCTCTGATCAGAGCACACATACACCTACAATAAAACAACGGATAATACAACTACAAAATAATACAATTACAATAGAAAATACACATGTACATATAAACAATTAAGTCTTAAATCCATTGAAACCAGTAAAAGAGCTTGTTTAGTATTTAGTCCAGGAACTATACAAGAGGCCCATGGGCCTTATAGGTCACCTGAGCATTATGCAACAACTTTCCAGTGATTAAATTTAATTCATCATAACAACACACTTAGCAGTTTCTTAGTTTGTTTACTTAATACCCATACACAAGGTAGGGGAACAAAAAATGCATTTCAACTAATCAGTTATATTCAGCAATAATCAGTAGTGCCCCTACCACACATGAACCCCTGACCCTTGGGCCTTGATATTTGATTAATACCAAGGAGCAGATTTCAAACCATTCATTCATTTTCAGTATATAAGTACACCCCCCCATATTACCCCTGACCCTGTGGCCTTGAAATTCTCAATTCTGGAAGATTAGGGCCCAAATGAACTATATAGTAGTTCATCTGCTTAATACCCTAGAGCAGAGAAGAAGATTTTCAAAGAATTCCTGTATTTTCACTATATAATCTATAGAGCCCCGCCCTAACACCAAAACCCCTGACCCTGGGGCCATAAAATTCATAATTTTGGTAGAGACACTCTTGCTCATCATAACTATGCACTTAGTTAGTTTATTTAATACCCAGGAGCAATGAAGAAGATTTTCAAAGAATTCCTGTATTTTCACTGTATGATCAATAGAGCCCCACCCTAACACCAAAACCCCTGACCCTGGGGCCATAAAATTCACAATTTTGGTAGAGGCACTCTTGTTCATCATAACTATGCACTTAGTTAGTTTATTTAATACCCAGGAGCAGAGAAGAAGATTTTCAAAGAATTCATGTATTTTAACTACATAATCTAAGAGCCCTGCCCTAACACCAGAACTCCTGACCCTGGGGCCATAAAATTCACAATTTTGGTAGAGGCACTCTTGCTCATCATAACTATGCACTTAGTTAGTTTATTTAATACCCTGGCGCAGAGAAGATTTTCAAAGAATTCATGTATTTTCACTATATAATCAATAGAGCCCCACCCTAACACCAGAACCCCTGACCCTGTGGCCATGAAATTCACAATTTTGGTAGAGGCACTCTTGTTCATCATAACTATGCACTTAGTTAGTTTATTTAATACCCAGGAGCAGAGAAGAAGATTTTCAAAGAATTCATGTATTTTAACTACATAATCTATAGAGCCCTGCCCTAGCACTAGAACCCCTGACCCTGGGGCCATAAAATTCACAATTTTGGTAGAGGCACTCTTGCTCATCATAACTATGCACTTAGTTAGTTTATTTAATACCCAGGAGCAGAGAAGAAGATTTTCAAAGAATTCATGTATTTTCACTATATAATCAATAGAGCCCCACCCTAACACCAGAACCCCTGACCCTGTGGCCATGAAATTCACAATTTTGGTAGAGGCACTCTTGCTCATCATAATGTACTTAGTTAGTTTATTTAATACCCAGGAGCAGAGAAGAAGATTTTCAAAGAAATAATGCATTTTCACTACCTACTTATTTAGCCCCGCCCTAGCACTAGAACCCCTGACCCCAGGGCCATGAATTTCACAATTTTGGTAGAGGATCATTGCTGATTACAATCATGCAAACAGTTTGACTGCTTGATGCCCAGGAGTAAAGAAGAAGATTTTTAAAAATTGCATTAATTTTAGTGGTTTTGGCCCCACCCCTCAGGCCCCTGGGGGGCAGGGATCATGAAATTCACAATTTTTGTTCCCCTTCACCCATAGATGCTTTGTGCCAAATTTGGTTGAAATTGGTTCAGTGGTTGCAGAGAAGAAGCTGAAAATGTTCAAATGTTAACGCACGACGCACAACGCACGATGCACGACGACGGACGAAAACGGATAGCAATAGGTCACCTGAGTTTACTCAGGTGACCTAAAAACTCTTAATCCATAAAAATTAAGCATTGAAAATAAGTTATTCAAAAACAAAATATGCTCCCAGGTCTCTGCATGCAAGGTATCTACATGTATATCTAGTAAAAAAGCAAGAGGCCCATGGGCCACATCGCTCACCTGAGAAGCTTTAACCATTCTGTTCTTTACCAGATTTCCCCCTTGTTATACATAATGCATCCCCACCCTATCCCACTGATCATAATTTAGACATTTTGAAATCTACACCACCCCATGATCCTTCCATGGGCACATATGTTTCAGCTGTTTTGGCCCAGTGGTTCCTGAGAAGAAGATTTTCAAAGATTTTTCCTATATATTACTATGTAAAACTTTGATTCCCTATAATGGCCCCGCCCTTCCCCCAGGGGTCATGATTCCTACAATTTAGAATTTACACTACCCCAGAATGCTTCCACATAAGCTTCACTTTTTCTGGCCCAGTGGTTCTTGAGAAGAAGATTTTCAAAGATTTTTCCTATATATTTCTATATTAAACTTTGATTCCCCATTGTGGCCCCGCCCTTCCCCCTGGGGTCATGATTTGAACAATTTAGAATCTACACTATACCAGGATGGTTCCACATAAGTTTCAGCTTTTCGGGCCCAGTGGTTCTTGAGAAGAAGATTTTCAAAGATTTTTCCTATATATTTCTATGTAAAACTTTGGTTCCCCATTGTGGTCCCCCGGGGGTCATTATTTGAACAATTTAGAATCTACATTATACCAGGATGCTTCCACATAAGTTTCAGCTTTACTGGCCCAGTGGTTCTTGAGAAGAAGATTTTCAAAGATTTTTCCTATATATTTCTATGTAAAACTTTGATTCCCCATTGTGGCCCCACCCCCTTCCCCCAGGGGTCATGATGTGAATAATTTAGAATTTACACTATACCAGGATGCTTCCACATAAGTTTCAGCTTTTCTGGCCCAGTGGTTCTTGAGAAGAAGATTTTCAAAGATTTTTCCTATATATTTCTATGTAAAACTTTGATTCCTCATTGTGGCCCTGCCCTTCCCCCGGGGGGCATGATTTGAACAATTTAGAATCTACACTACCCCAGGATGCTTCCACATACGTTTCAGCTTTAATGGCCTAGTGGTTCTTGAGAAGAAGATTTTTTAATGACCCAACCCTATTTTTGTCTTTTCTTGATTATCTCCCCTTGCGAGGGGATATGTCCCTTCATTTTAACAATTTAAATTCCCCTTCACCCAAGGATGCTTTGTACCAAGTTTGATCAAAATTGGCCCAGTGGTTCTTGAGAAGAAGTCGAAAATGTGAAAAGTTTACAGACGGACAGACAGACGGACAGACGGACGGACGGACAGACGGACGGAGACGGACGGACGACGGACAAAGTGTGATTAGAAAAGCTCACTTGAGCCTTCGGCTCAGGTGAGCTAAAAAACACAAAAACAAATATTTCATTTATTATATGAGCAGACAGTCTATGACCTGCTTAGATTTGACGGCCTGTCAGCTTTGAGAACAGAAAAATGTGTGTGACCTACTTAGAATTGACCGCCTGTCAGCTATGATGACAGACCAGTATGACCTACTTAGATTTGACCGCCTGGGGAGGGAGGATGTAGGGAAACAGAGATTCCACCAATCGTCGGAGGTACTCCAGCTCACATTTACGACTCAACATGGCTACGTGCATGTTAGGTCCTAGCTGCTCCAGGGTTAACTGCTGAAGGTCACCACCAGGGGGAGCTGTTCAACAAAATTATGCAAATGAGCCAAGGGATCAAATCAGTTACAGTAAATGTATTAAATTTAGCATGCAAAAAGCACTAACAAATATGCAGTCAAATGTAATATCTTTACAGTATATATCTATGTAATTTTATATTTAATATTTAATCTATCTGGATAGTTTCATTGTAGCTGTTAAACCCCTGTGTCTCCCTAAACTCTACTAAAAAAATTACTTTTGATGCACCCTCCATCAGTGATAAAGGTTTAAGTTTAACCCCACCCCTACCCCCAACCTGCATTTTTTTGATCTGAAACTCACCATGCTTCCTGGCCTCATCAATAAAATCAAATGTACTTAGATTTGGTGAATAGATAAGTGATATTAATTATTTTATAGTGAACATATGAATAATATTCACCATTACAGTAAAAAGTGCATTTCCATTTTTTTCTGATCGCATGTTTTAATATTGCTATGACGACCGTTAAAATACACACATATTTGACTAGTGTTGGCAAATTGACGACAAAACTAAACTTTTGAACCGGTTACTCGATGTTTTACCACATACATGTGTGAATTTATATTTTTTACAGGCGATTTTTTTGCCATAGGGTATGCTTATTATTAACCTCATCCTTTTACTTATTGGTAAAAATAATGGAAAATGCAACGTATATGGATTTTAATTTATTTACAAATATAAACTTTAAAAAAACACAACATCTTCGTACTCTGTTGATTTTAAATGTCACTTGAAACAGTCAGTTTGTTTTCGTTTAAGAAAATAAAATAACACATGACCCTGTAATTGCTTGTTGTTTTATAATAGGTTTAAGGACACTGCACCCCCCCCCCCGGTAATCAAAACCATCAATTATATACGCTGTGAAAACTGAAACCCACGATTCAAATTGTTCAATTGTAAACCAATAGTGTCAATCACTCGACGTAATTAATTTCAGATGGTAATATGTGTCAATATACATGTCTACAAATCGCATAAAAATACATTATGTACGTATTTACCATTAAAATTGTATTTTTATCCGATCTAACCATACTTCCTGGCAGTTTAAACAACTGTTGAAGTGCTGCCTTTATCAGTTTTTCACTGACGAGTTTTGGAATATCCACCTGTAATTATTTACGTAACATTAGATGTATACTTATCTCTACAGACCTATACTATAGAATCTCCACAGTCCTAAAACAGAGATTTTGTACTTGCAGGAGGCATGGATGATTTCAAGCATAAATATTTGTCTCTTTTTTGCCAAGACAATGGAATTAATTAATATGTTTGAAGTACCTTTTTCAGTCTCCTGAGTAGAACAGAGGCTAAGAATCGGATGCTGGTTTTCAGTTCATCAGGGAATCCCTCATCTGCACTCAGGTCCCTGTGTAAGGGCAAATTAATGAAGTCTTATACAGCTCTCAAAAAAAGTAAAGGTATAACTGAAAACTCTGGGGAAAAACAAAATCTTTGGAAACATTGCTGGATATGTATTGATTGTTTGCAAAAGTAAATTTCTGATTATACCTAGTGTAACTGACTAACTGTACTATTTTTAATTCAACATACCACCAACAAAAGTATAGGACCATAGCATCTAATTTAACTTACCTGTACCAAGTGTAAAGGAATTCCTTCAAAACAATATTTGCAAACTGAAATAAACAAAAAGAATTGCTTTGTACATCTTATACAATAGATGATGAACAAAAAACAGAGCATTTCTTCAATTAAGAATATAAATTATGTAAACTGATTCAAACCTCTTCCACAGACTCGTCAACTCTCTGTCTGACTTTCAAGTAAGTCCAGGGTTGGAAGGCTAAAATATTCAGCTCTGGTCTGAAAGTCAGGAAAGGATATTCAATTCAGATCATCTCTTTATGTCTCTTGTAGTGAAAAATAAAATACATCTCAAGATTTTTCTTTCAAGTCTAATCTAGTTTTAGTAAATCACCTTACAGTCACTCATTAATTCTAATGATGTGGGATCATAAACAATAGAAAATAGTTATAACTGAATCTTTTTCATAAACTGCAGCACTATCTATGACTAGTTTATTTCCATGTATGTCTAGTTTGTTATTATCATAAGCATAATGAGTAATATGCTGTTCCTGCATTTTTCCAGAATCATTAAGTATAATTATTTAGTTATAACTTTTATTGTACCTGTGTCTTGGGCAGTGTCACTGGCCACAAACAGCACACACAGTTTTCATCAATGTTAATTTATTGTACCTGTGTCTAGGCCTCTAGGGCAGCGTTGCTGACCACAAACAGTACACACAGTTTTCATTTATTGTACTTGTGTCTAGGGCAGCATCGCTGACCACAAACAGTTCAAACAGTTTTCATTAATGTTAGTTTATTGTTACAGTACCTGTGTCTAGGGCAGCGTCGCTGGCCACAAACAGTACACACAGTTTTCATTAATGTTAATTCATCATCTTCATCATCCTGCTGAAAACAGATAGGTTTATAACGCAAAATATCCAAACAAAGGTTTATAATAACCATAATTATTTCAATAAACTAAAGGTTTATAATAATGCAAAATATTTCACTAGTAAATAGCTTTTAATGTTGTTCTGGTATTTATATTAAAGTTACTGCTTCCTTCTGTATTACAGAAAAAAAGCCTGCTACAAGTACAACAATGTGAATTGTGTTTTTCCTACTTACTTTTTTCTTTCGTTGGTGGAAAAACAGGAGACTTGGTAATATGGTGTCAGAACTAAAATGAAGTTAGAAAAACATATTTAGTCAATACACTGTACAGTAAAACTTATCTTATACCAATGCCACTGGTTCCAATGAAATTGACCAGATTTGACATCATTCCTGATTACACAACACCCTAATTAGACAAGTTTCGCTGCTGATTACAATTCCTGGTATAACTACAGAACCACCTCCTCAATCGTAGACAAACTCTATAACCACTCTGTATATTTTACTTACCTCTCAGCCATTCATGCTTGTCTCTACAGACCAATAAACTCAGATGATTTTTCAAAATTCAAAACAAGCAAGTTTTTGGTCTTTATTGACGACTATAAAGGTTTTGGAGGTGGATAAAATACTCACATTGGTTTTAAAAAATTTTCTAGAATTAGGGAGTGAAAGGTCAAGTTAAGCTCAAAGACTAAAATTTAAAACCATAACACTATCGGCTACAGTTCTGCAGCTATGCTACTAGAATAGTTCAATGAATTCCAGATGTCAACATTACATGTTAAATCAAAGTGAAAAGAAATATTGTTAAAATTACTTGAATTTTCATCTTGATATGAATTATTTTATAGGCTAAAAGGCATACTCAATCTCAAAAGGTTTGGTATGATAGTTGCTTTCAGTGCAGCTACTTTTGGATTCTTCAAAATCATTTCAAAGCATATCCACTCCACTTGCTACATAACAGTTATACAGAAGTATTCTTACTGTGGTGTGAGCTTTTCCCATGACACAGATTATTCTAGACTATAGCTCTATCTCTCAGCCAGCTGTCATCGAATGTTCTTACCTTATGCAACTGTAAGTTACGGCTAATCCAAGTATAAAGGACCAAATGATGAGGATCAGTGAGAAATATCTGAAAAGATATGTATAAATTACAAGAGTTTAAAAAAATGCATGTAATTAGTAGTTTTATCTAGTCAGATTTTTCATTAATTTGAGGAAATTCGACCTATGTATAATTTTGCAATTCAAAGCAATGCAGCTTCCTTTACCTGTGGAAAATGAATGTAAACAGGAGGAGGATGACTGTTGATGTACAAAATCTGGAATGCTTCTGCAGATAATGCTTTATTATATACCATGGAATCATATTGACAATATGGAAAATTGTCAACAAATTCCAACGCCACCTTTAGTCTGAAAATTGTGAACACCGAACCCGAACTAATTTTGTCTACAATTATTTCAATAATTCGATTCAGTTCACTTTATTGGCAATTACCACGTCGGCATACAGTCATGAATATTAACGATGAAGAAATTGTCTTTTTCTTCATTTGATATAACACTATCACATAAAACTTATATTAATTAGAGGAGCACTATAACTTAACAAAATCTTTAAACATTTTTTTAGAATATTTCTTTAGAAATCAGATTCTGAAAATTAAAAAAATAATTTTTAAAGTAATAACTGGGTTAAGTAACAGACTCTACCTAAAAAACAACAAACAATTAATCAAACAAGTTCAACTTAAAGTGTAAATTTTATTTATTTGCGTTATAATTATTTCCCTCTCTCTCTCTCTCTCTCTCTCTCTCTCTCTCTCTCTCTCTCTCTCTCTCTCTCTCTCTCTCTCTCTCTCTCTCTCTCTCTCTCTCTCTCTCTCTCTCTCTCTCTCTCTCTCTCTCTCTCTCTCTCTCTCTCTCTCTCTCTCTCTCTCTCTCTCTCTCTCTCTCTCTCTCTCTCTCTCTCTCTCTCTCTCTCTCTCTCTCTCTCTCTCTCTCTCTCTCTCTCTCTCTCTCTCTCTCTCTCTCTCTCTCTCTCTCTCTCTCTCTCTCTCTCTCTCTCTCTCTCTCTCTCTCTCTCTCTCTCTCTCTCTCTCTCTCTCTCTCTCTCTCTCTCTCTCTCTCTCTCTCTCTTCTCTCTCTCTCTCTCTCTCTCTCTCTCTCTCTCTCTCTCTCTTTGAAATTCCACTAATTATTGTACGCAGTGATAAAACTGTTGCAAGTATCGAATAAATTTTTTGCGATCATCAGTATAATTACATGCGCCACTTCAATTGGTACAAGTATGCTTAGCAATGTACATGGTGAGATTATTACTTGAAACTTTTGTTTCAAACTTCGCTGCAAATGATTCGTTGCTTCGATATATTGAATTGAAGATGTGATCAATTTAATAAATTTACTAAGCTTTCTTCTAAAATAATTGAGTAATAAATAAACAAATAAATTGGTATATCCAATAAGGCCATTAAATCATTTAATACAAAAATACGGCAAAAAATGCAAAAATACAACTGATAAAGCAATTTTGTTTGCAAAACATACAATTTATGTCACATAGTTTACGATTGATATCCCCAGGTATCCCTCTACTTTTTCTTTCTTTTTACTTAAAAAATTACCTGTGCGGATCCATCCTACTATAGGGGGTGGGATCCCTTTTACTTTTTCTTTCTTTCTTTCTTTCTTTTTATTCAATATTTTTTTATTTCAAGTTTATACAGTAAAGTGATGAATACGACCCACCTTCCCTGAAAATATGGATCCCTGACAAAATGGTAAGGAGAGTCATTAATATATAACTTTATAATGTACTAATGAAAGCGATGTGTCTAAAGAGAGCGACCCGGCACTCACGGAATATGTTTAAGGATAATTTTTTTTATTGTTTCTTGCAACGTGTTACTATGGTCGAGAAGCCTTCACCAGACTATATTCATATATATTGCTAGGTTAAATCTCAGCCGAGATAAAGCCTACTCACATCCAACTCACAACCTAAATCAATCTCACAAGCACCGAGTCACAACCAATATCTACAACGACGCGCAGAGCTGTTACACATAAAATTGTATTGCTTAAGTAAAAAATAAAAATAAAATAATAAACAGTTTGATATTAAATCATGCTCAGTCCAATGAGAGAATATAAGTCCAATTTTAAACACCATAAATCAAGAGCAGCACAAAATGAAATCATCAGATATATGATCAGAAGCAGCGTAGGAGAAAATACTCCTTGTGGACGGGTCCCAACCACTGGTCAAAACTGTCCTGGGCCTCTTATCAACAAGGGGTAAAGGAGGATATCCATGAACAGCTGAATGTGAAAATAATTTTCCAAAAATTTGTTGAAGAACGCCAATCAATATTCGATCACATGGCATTTTCAAACAAAGTCATTATTTCAATCACAAAGTTTGCAAAATGTTGCCTTTAAACTGATGCTGATATTTTAGCATCTTCAACTTATTTGCCAGTAGCCTATGTAGACTTGGAAATTGTTTGTGGGTAGACATACTCTACCTTGCTTTGATGTGTAGGATATAAACACAACAGGCAGAGAATGATGGAATGTTGCTTCATGAATTTGGGAAGCTGACAATAAAAAGTTGTCATCAAAATCTTTCTTTATTAGATTTGTAAGAAAACAATCGCATATGAAACAGACAAAAAGCTAACTTTAAGACTTGCTTAAATCCCTCTTCAACAATAGTATTTCTATAAAGGGAAACCATATCATAATATACTTATCACTCTGTTACATTCTGTTTACCTTCATGTGAGAATAACAACACACTGAGATTTCATTACATTTCCCCTTTGGGTTTTCATTTTGTTTATTAAGGCAACAATCTTGGATATCATACAGAAATCTGATATAATTTTTCTTGGTCTTTGAATTTGTTCAGAGCTTGAGGAGTTAAAGTGTGTAAATACAAGACATGAATGATATCTGATTCAATTTAAAAAAGAGAGGCAACTCTTACAAATCTTGGAGTTTAATGTAACATTATCATGTGAAGACATTTATTACAACAAGCAATTTACATTACAATGACGAAAAAGTAATGAATATTAATTAAGTAATCTACAGTTTTATAAAAAGTTTAAAAAATCAAAATCAAAATATAATCTTCAACATATCAAATAAACTTGGACACCATACAATCATAAATATCACAGTAACATCCAATGCAGATCCACAAACTATGTCATTATCTCCACACCACTTTTGCTCTACTAGAATGTCAGTGACATAGAATCCTCTGGATTTGACATTGCTGATCTGGAGTAAGCCGTTAGGACCAGATGCGGACGGTGTTGTCACTTCCTCCGGAGACCATGAATTCCCCGGACTTGTCAAACATCAGACACTGTACGGCGTCCTCGTGTCCCACTAAGGTACCCAGCTGTAATAGATAACCTCATGTCCCACCAAGGTACCCAGCTGTAATGAGTAATCAATGATAATTAATAGGAGAAGACAAGCTGAAATACATTCCTCTACATTATAAAATAACAAATCCTTTAGCCATCTGCTCATAATATAAGTAGTAACATTGTTTTAGTATTTTTACAACTTCTGCCCTATTTCTCCTCAGATATCATTGTAATTAGTAACTTAGGCCAGGCTTTAAAAAAATCTTTGTTTGCAGTTGCCGACCTATAATTTTTAGACTGGGTAGGTAGGTAGGCATTTTTTTTATTTTTAAAAAAAAAAAGTTAAAGATTTTTGTTAGATGACAAATAATGGAGTTTTTCATAGGCCTACTAAACATGAATAAGCTCCATTATTCTTATAAACCACTGGTTGATAAAAACAAAAGTCAAAAATTGAAAATGAAACAGTTTCACTATTCTGAAAAATAAAAAAAAAAATTTTTTACAAAATGGCTAAAAAAAGTTTTAGTTGGGTACATTTCCACTGGGTCGGTAGGCAACTGCAAACAAATAAATTTTTATTTTAGGCCTTACAAAAAAAAACGATACATATTCTTCCATGCATTCCTTCAGGGTGTTCAATTTTTCAGCTATATCCTTACTTTGTGATTATCATTTAGCTTACCCTGCCATTGGAAACCTCGTACATCTTTATTGTGGCATCATTACTGGCAATAGCCACCACCGCTCCAGTTGGGTCAAAGGCCACTCGATTGGCGGGATGTGGTCCCACATCAAAACTGACCATAGGAGCCACTGTCCTAACATCCCACAGTTTGACAGTACCATAGGAATCACAGGACACCACAGTATCACCCTACAAAGATCCGGAAAAATTTATATTAATCTGTTATGACAATAAAGGTGGCATTTGGAAATGGAAATAAAAAGAACAACATGATGGAATTTTATGAAATCTCGATCCTTACCTTAAGACTAAATGTTGCATTGTTGACAGAGTGCATGTGGCCATAAAATGTTTGTGCACAGAGTCCCTGAAATAAGATATGATAGTGTAAAGCAAATACATAAATGGAAAAATATACAGTCAAACCTCATTACCTCAAACTCAGAGGAAATGTAAAAAAAACTTTGAGATACTGAGGTTAAAATAAAAACATATATTCATATTTTTTTGAAATATCAGCTGTATATTTCTGAAACTTAATTGTTGTGTTTCTTTCTTTTTTTCTTACTCTACATGTTTACTTACCGTGCGGGCATCCCAGAGTGAGAGAGTTTTGTCTGCGGAGCAGGATAGGAGCGTGTTGGAATACGGCAGGAACTCGATACTGTTAACACTGTCTGCGTGGCCCCGCATCGTGAAGCGACAGCGGAGACTGTTCAGATCCCACAGTTTACAGGTATTGTCCATAGAGCAGGAGGCCACAAAGTCACCGCAGCTGTGCCAGGTACAACCCCATACTGAAATAGACAGAATACACAATACCTGTTCACTAACTGTCTAAATATCAGGTACAACCCACACTAAAACAGACAAAATACACTAACGGTCTCAGTATCTACAGGTACATTGGTTCCAGGTAAAACTTGCAATGATAATGTTATATGAAAAATTTGCAAATGTATCATAATTGCTATACAATTTTTTAATGCATGTAATTAGTCTAGATTGGCAGAAAAATACCTGCATGTTTATGGTCTTCACTTTTTCTTCTTAACTTGCATGTTTGTGGACTGTGTGTTGGTGTGTGCCCTGTGTGCTTTTCTCTTACTTGCATGTGTGTGGTTTTTTAACCCATTAATATTTTTTTGCTTTTATTTAAATACTTGTATGTGCTCTGTGACTTTTTCTCTTACCTGCATGTGTGTGGTCTGTAAATGTGTGTACACACTCAGCCTTAGAAAAGTCCCATATTTTCACTGTTGTGTCACCACTGGAAGTCACTAATTTGGAACCACTACAAAAAAACCATAACAACTCTGACAGTACCT